TTTTGCTAACTAAAGAGAAATGAAGCAAACAAAAGAACAATCAGATGTTGCCCCCTTCTCCTTGCCCACACACACTATTCAGTGTGCCACAACAGTTACAGCAGCAGTAATTCTAGAGTTTTATCTGATAGGCATACATCTAATCTTACAGAATCTGTTCAGTGTCAAACAGCATGAGAAAGCCACGTTAAAGCTGAGCTGTCAACAGAGGCTGAGTAGCAACTTTTCTTCCTCGAAAACATACTATCCGAATATTTTAGCCTGTAGCACCTTCAGAGGAGGTTTAAATTCTAAGAATATTTCCTAGATTATTGGTCTGAAGATGGTTGTGTGCAGTTTTCTTTAATTAGTAAAATGAAACTTAAGCTTGCAGAAATACTCCAGTAGATCTCAGAAGTGCATTTGGGTTGGACTTTAAGACTTAACCAAAGAACTTCATTTATTGCTCTGGCAATGGCTAGCTGAAATGCAAACAAAGCACTGTCTCTACCAGCTCTGCACATCAATGTGTTGGGTTTTTTTCCTGTTCTTATGCACATTCCATTTTGAAGTGTTTGTTGTTTTTTTTTAAACAGACTTAATAATCATCTGTTTATTTAAGAGAAGCTTACATTCCCTTTTAAATAAATATTTAACTAAAAAGTTCATCTTTTGCTGTTACGAAATGAGGAACGTGCCTTTTACTGAACATCAAACAGGAAGAAAGAGGAAGAACAACTGAATAAAAAGCTTCCTAAGCAGCATGGCTCAATTTGGAGGCCAGCAATATTTGCAGTAATCTCTAGCTTGGAGCTGAGGAGCACGCTGCAATAGCAAGACTGCAAACCTCCTTCAACCACTTCACACTCATCTGACAAATTTCTATCAAAATCATTTTCCATCAGAAAAACAGCACTTAAGAAAACATCACACGAGCATCTTCCTGACAAATGCCATGCAAAATATTTTCTTTCAGATAATGCTTTAATGTTTCCAAATTGAAAGGTTTCATTTTTTTTATTTTTTTTTTGTATTAAATATTACTTAGCAATTCCTGATGGCAGTAAGACTGAAACATGTAGGTCATGCTTCAGTTTGTAACCTCATAGCAAGCTTTGATGTATCATACCTGACACTGACCATTTAAAAATAAAAATAACCATGGCAGCCACCCACTCTGAACTAACTGAAGTATCTTATACCTGCATTTGCTAGCCTGAAATTTATTTATTTGTTTAATACTGAAAATGGGTAATTCTGCTAAGTATTCCTTATTCCAGCCATTTCCAAATATGAGTCAGTTGAATATAAAATATTTTATTTAATACAACGTAGCAGGTGCCCCTCATCTTAAAACAAAAATGCGGACACATCTTACTATTTCTACTTCAAAGAATTGTGTGAAATCAAACTTTCATTTTAGGGAATGTAGCACTCATGATTCCATCGTAAACACATCGCTAGCCTGTAAAATTTCTACAAGACATCCTCAAAGTACGGAAGTGTCTACTAAGCAGAGTGTGTCTTTCGTAATGCTGCTCTGTGTCAAGGACAGTGGAGAAAGGGACAAAAAAAGTCAAGCACGCTGGTTAAGTTGGATAGTGAAGTGTCATATAAGCAAAATCAAAACACTGCAATATGAACCAGATACCTAACAGCTTTAATGGCAACCCTGTGGTAAAACAGTACTTGTCTTTCCTGCCAGAAGAGAGTGGCTCTCAAGTTACTGATTTAATGGACCGCCTACCAAACTACACCTATGGGGTTTGACAAGGCCAGCAATATTTCTTTTTTCCTGTTGCCACACAGAATTTGCCTGTGTTCAATTTAGTTTGTTTAACAGCTCAGCGTTCAGACTCACCTGCTTGATAACATATTGAACCTGCTCTGATTGGAGAACAACACTTTTAATAGCATTTGGCTTGCAAGGTGAAAGTCCTTTATAGATCACAGGTGTATAACATTTCATTGCATATCTCAAGTCACTGGACAATCGTCTTTCCTCCAAGATATCTTCAAACTCATCTCTTTTCTTTGATATGAGCTCTTTCTGCTAGGAACATACAAATAAAGGATGAGACACCATTTGGGGTGATTCAGTGATCTGCTTGGATGCAGTAGTAATACATTAGATGCAAAACTTTTGCAGCGTTTGGTTGCTTTACTTTTTCTTTTTTTCTTCTTTTCATATTTCTGTAGTGTCTGCATTCCATACTCTGAGCACATGAACAATGCACTGCTTGGAACAATGCTGCAATTAGAAACTTAAAAAAATAAATAACTGAACCAAAACAAAAGCAACAAACGTTTCCAACTGCAAAGGTCTCCAGATCACCATATGTCACATTGCTTAATTCTGCCCAACAGGAAGAGGTTTAGGGAACACCTTGGCTTTAAAGCTAAAATGCCTTGCCTCCAGTCTCTTCATGATTAATAGGTATTAGCAGCTTTGATCTCTCCTCTTACAGCTGCATGAAAACAATAACAGGAACAACATTATAAGAACACAGTCATCAACAGAAGACAGTAGTATCCCTGCTGCTTTAAGCTGCACCTGCGACCTTGGTGATCTCTTCTGGCTTTCAACAAGCTTGGATACAAAGGTACAGAAAGCATAGCCAGGTAGGAACAAAACAAAAAGCAAAGTACCAGCCATGTGAAGATCAGAATGCAACATGGTGCACAGTGCAGTTATAAAGAGAGCACAGTCTCTGAACAACCAACGTCACTGTTAAGCAAGAAAGCATCTAGAACTAGTTGTGGATCCATCCTACTACAGAAATCTCTTTCACAAAACTCTTCTCCCCCAGACAGCAGGCACGGTCTGTGTTATCTTCTGTAACAGCACAGTCTATGTGAATGACCCTTCAGTCTTTCTAGAACTCATATTGTGTCCTTCCAAACCTCAAAATAGCAGCAATATTCACCAGACAAGCAAAACTCAGTGGAACATAAATATAAAGGTAACAGTTATGATTAAGAGTATTTATTAGAAGAAGATGCTTAAAAAAAAAAAAAAAAAAACTGGGAGAAAAAAAGTGAAGGATGAAAGGCATTGCTTCCCAGGCTGTTACAGCAACCTTCCCTGACCCCAAGACAAAGGCTTGGCCAGCAAACATCCACCAGAAACGGATAAGCAAAACACTCAGAAGCAGCTAGGTTTTCAGCCCTGGGAGAGGGAGTCAGCTTTCACTGTGCTCAGTGTAGCTACATCAGCAACACTGTCAAAAACAGCTGACATTTGGAGTGAGCACAGCACACAATTTATCTCCCAACCATTTGTTGCTACAAGACAGTTTGGAAAAACAAAACAAAATACCACAAATCAGGAACATCTCCACTTAAGAACCACACACACACAAAAAAAAAAAAAAAAAAAAAAAAAAAAGCCCTTCAAAACCCCAAATGAATCAAGAGCCAACTTCATTTTATCAGAGAACACAAACCCCTACTATAACGCCTGACATTGTTATATTTTCCCCCATACGCTACAGCCAGGTTTTGGTACCATCCTTTACTATATCAGTACTTGGTAGTTCATCTCACTTTTCTCTCCAGTATCACAGTTCAGACAGCTGTCCCATAGTAATTGCAAAACCACCCTGTACACAGACTTTTAAAAAAGTCATAGGTTTAAGCTCATACATGCTATATTAAATGTAGGCCCACATCCATTTAAAAGCTTTATTATCTTTTTTTCCTACGTAGTGCAGAATTAAAGTTTTCAATCTTTCTTCTTCCACAGCTTTCATCTAGCTGATGTCACACAAGCGCCAGGGAAGCCATAAGCTGACAAGGAGTCTGGAGATAGTTTGTGTCAATCATCTGTGGCCTTGACACCTTGTAGCAACCTTTCTAAATACAAATAAAACAGAAGAAAACAAACCACTTTTGGAAGAAAAGAGAAGAGAAACTCAGCTCTGGTAGCACCAGCCACATCAGCAGCAGCTGTGCTTCTGCAGCCCTTAACACAAGAGCACGTCGTGGATGACAGAGGCTGTACAAAGCCACAGCTAATGGAGAAGTCACCTGTCTGCCACTTCCGCTGATTTCACATTTCCAGATTTGATCTACAATTGCTACCCTTCCATGCTTTCATGTCCCAGTCTAACGTGGCACGGAGGGAGTGGAAAGAAATGCTCCTCTCACACCGCACAGACAAACTGCTGCTTGGATTCACCTGCAGGCTGGCAGAAACACACTTAGAGGATACGCAGCTGAGAACCCTGGAACCAGAGAGCTCGCTTCTGTACGCGGTTATTCCCACACGGCTAAAGCACGGAGCGGAGTGGGGATGCCGCAGCTTTCCACGATCCTCAGAACACAACAGGAGCGCGCTTGGGTGGACCTGGGACAGGGGCACAGCTCCAGGGAGATACAGCAGTGCCGTTCAGGAACCCGAGCTGGAACTACGAGCCATATCTCTCTTTTCAACCCTTCGCCCCAATCCTAGCGAGAGGACAGGTTTAACACCCCACATCTCAATCTTCTCAGGGAAAAACGAGGACGGCAAACTCCCTTTCAGTGACACAACACGGGGCAGCCTGCTCTGTCAAACCCATCCATGTGACAGCTCTCTAACAGCCACTTCAGCCGAAAACTCGCCAACGGCAGCACGCTGCTGCCCAAACGCTCCGACAGCCGAACCCGGGGACAGCCGCAGGCCTTCCCTCCCGCCCTGCCCGGCACCTGCTACCCGCCCGCAGGCCCCGCCCGAGCCCCACTTCAGATCGAACGCGGCCCGTGCAGGCGGCGGCCCCTCTCCCCACGCCGCCTACCGAGAACATGGGCGTCCCTCGCCGCGCCCGCCCGGCCGCCGTCGCTACCGCCGCCGCCATGGCTCTGCGAGCGCCGCCGCGCCTCGCCGCGCCCTGCTCGGCCGCCCTACCCCGTCGCTGCGGCGCCCTTCGCTGCGGCGCCCATGGCCCCGCGCCGCCCCGGCCCGGCTGCCCGGCGCGCTGAGGCGGGCGCGGGGGAGGGCGGGGGCACAGCGCCGTAGGCGGCGCCATCTTAGGGGCGACGGGAGCCGCTCGGGTTCAAGCGGCCTTCCGCTCTGAGCGCCATGGGGTCGCGGGAGCCCTGCCGGCGGCTGGAGGCGGTGCTCGGCGCTCTCTACGACTTGGGTGGGTGAGCGGAGCCGAAAGGAGATTTGAGGGAGGGAGGGCTGCGGGAAAAGGGGCCGTGGGAGGGAGGGCCGCTCGCTGCGACGCGAAGTTGACCCGCGCACGTGTTCTGCCGCGCAGGTGACGAGCCCGGCGTCCGGGGCTCGGCGGGGGACGGCGATGCTAGCGAGGCGGCGGCGGAGGAGGAAGAGGAGGAGAGCCGAGAAGTGCAGCCGACAGCCCCGAGCGATGCTGGCGGGGCGGAGAGAGGGAGGCGCGGCGCCCGCGGCTTCTTCGGAGGGCTGCGGGAGGAGATGTGCCGCACCGCCCCGCCGCCGCCGCCCCACGGCGCGCCGCCCCCCGCCCAGGTGGAGGTGGTGGTGTTCCGCGCGAGGAAGAGGAAGGCGCGGCCCGACCCCGCTCCGGCGGCGCCCGGCGGCGGCACCCAGGTAGAGCCGAGGCGGGGGAACCTCCGGGCTGGGGGCTCTGTCCCAAAACTGCCCTGCTCTGTTGGTGCTGCTGCAAAACGAGAAAACCTCAGCTACCGACAAAGATGTGCTGCCCTCCGTTAAACAGGAGTGTGGGTGGTGGAAGTTCTTTAAAGCACAGATTTTTTTTTTTTTTTTTTTCCCCTCCCCCTAAAGCCACGCCAGAGACTTTACATTGAGGGACAGGGATGCGCCTTTGTGGGTACAGCAGAAAGCAAGCAAGATCCCAAGGTGCTTGCCTGGTTTTGTTGTCTCTGCCCTCTGCCATCATAACGCAGTAACTCCTGCTCCAAGCATCTCCCCTCCACCAGTACAGGTGCCTACAAGTCCCAGACCCCTCCCCGGATACCCAGCTAATGACAGCCAGCCCTGCTGGCAGGTTAAACAGGGGTAAGTGCAGTCTGAGAGGTAATGATTATGCCAGAGGAGGTTCAGGTCAGATATTAGGAAAATTTTCCACTCAGAAAGAGCAGTGAGGCACTGAAAGGGGCTACCCAGGGAGGTGATAGAGTCATATCCTTAGAGGTATTGAGGAAACATGTGGCTGTGGCACTGAGGAACACGGTTAGTGATCATGGTGGACATGGGTTGGTGGTTGGGCTAGGCTGTCTTAGTGGCCTTTTCCAACAATTAGGATTCAAAGACCGATGGCTTTTTCTTCTGATTTCAAAAGATCTCTGATTAAGTATTTTGCATTGGAAACAGAAAAGTAAATCCCAGCGACATAAATAAACCCATCCATGTGGCTGCCAATGCAGTACAAAACGTAAACACCCAGCTTGCCAGTTCACCAGCTTGCCAGTGGCTATGCTTTTACATAAATATGTTTATTACTTCAAGCCAAACACAAGGCTTAGCCTCTAGCAGTGTCCTACAAATAAAACAGGCAGAAAAGCCTCTTAACTGTTCCTCTGCCTCAGTGTTTCATGTGTTGCCCTCACCTCGTGGGTGTGAGGGGCCTGCAGGTCACCAACAAGCAAGGAGCACCCTGGGGGGCTTGCACTGGGTATCTTATGGAGGGAGTGTCTTGTAGGCATTAGGTCTCAGGCTCCTGATTGGTTTATGGGCACCCAGTGTCCTCAGACTACCAAAAGCCAGGGCATGAAGAGAAAGGTGATCTTGAAGGTCTTTTCCAATATGAGCAATTCTATGTTTCTATGGGCCTGTCTGGAAGTTACCATGCCTTCCACAGTGGGTAGAAGTCTACCATGGGTCAGCATTGTAGTGTTTCTCTGGCAGTTTGCCTTAATTTGCACTTATAGCTGTAACATCAGAAGCCCAGTTCTAAAATAAGTTCTAATGGGCGTTTGATGAGGCTCACCACTATGGAAGCTTGAGATGGGACTGGGGATCTCTAGAGAGTGAACTGAGCAGTTGGTTGAACTCTCTTTTTTTTTTTTTTTTTTTTTTTTTTTTTGTGTGTGTGTGTGTGTGTGTGTGTGTGTGTGTGTATGCGCTTTTTCCAGTATGGTTTCCTCCAAAAGCTGTTCCAGATTTTCATTTTCTTATGCTTTTTTTGTTTGTATTTTTTTCTGCCTGTAAAAGCAGACCTGTTAGGCCTGTTAATGAAATGCTCTGTAGGCAACCAGTTTTCATTATGATATAGATTGCCAGACTACATGCAGCTTTGCAGAGCTAGAAGACATCTGGCTTTGGTGTATGCAGAGGGAAGCTGTGCTTTGATGTAACCTGAGTCCATTGCTGGACTAAATGTGACTAAATACTCTAGAGAGCAATAGAAACTTTGTGCTGAGTGTTGCCACCAGCTGTTAGTACACAAAGTTACCTCTCTCCAAGTCCAAAGCAAAATAACTTCAAGTTCTCATTGTATCCTGCTTTAGCAGTTTTGAGACAGATTTTGAAATGAAAGTATTCATGATGCCTAGCACTTTTTAAAACGTTGGCACTTTCAAAAACGTTGTTTAAACTTGAAATTATAAAAATTAATTGAATTTATTATTTTGTCTGTTTTTTGTCTGAATTATGGAACTCTTGGAAAGCATTAGCTAATAATGTAGACAGTGAAGTGCAGGACAAAGCTATGTATGTTCTGTGATATAATGGCACCCTGTAAATTTTGCAAGGCCGTTCCAATACGACCTTATAATATCTTCATATTTAAAATGCTACTGACACCCTCTTACCTTGATTTATTAAAAGAGAAAGCTGGAAAAAGATGCGTCTGGAAGGTTTCATACTCTTCCTTGCCACCCATTTTAGCATTTCACTGCTTTCAAATTGGTTTTATTTATTATATTCACAGAATCACAGAATTGTAGCAGTTGCAAAGGACCTTCAGGGATCATCAAGTCCAACCCCCCTGCCAAAGCAGGTTCCTTACACCAGGTTGCACAAGTAGGTGTCCAGGCGGGTCTTGAACATCTCCAGAGAAGGAGATTCCACGACCTCCCTGGGCAGCCTGTTCCAGTGCTCCGTCACCTCACTGTAAAGAAGTTCTTGTGCACATCTGTGCAGAACTTCCTATGCTGCAGTTTGCAGCCATTTCCCCTTGTCCTGTCTCCACTCACTGCTGAAAAGAGTCCGGCCTCGCCATTCTGCCCCCCACACCTTCGATATTTGTAGACCTGGATCAGGTCCACTGTCAGTCGTCTTTTCTCAAGGCTAAACAGACCCAGTTCACTCAGCCTTTCCTCATAGGGGAGATGCTCCAGGCCATTCACCATCTTTGTAGCCCTCCGCTGGACTCTTTCCAAGAGATCCCTGTCTTTTTTGTACTGGGGAGCCCAGAACTGGACACAATACTCCAGATGAGGCCTCACCAGGGCAGAGTAGGGGGGAGGATCACCTCCCTTGACTTGCTGGCCACGCTCTTTTTAATGCACCCCAGAATGCCATTGGCCTTTTTGGTCATGAGGGCACACTGCTGGCTCATGGCCAACCTGTTGTCCACCAGGACACCCAGGTAAAATTCAATTAAATGTTTTGTTTTCTTCACAGACCAGAACAGTGGCTGAAAAGAAAAATGTGAACAAGCAAGAATTTAACTTCGAAAAAGTAAGTCACTAGCACCTACCTAATCTCAGTGCTTCATTGTGCAGGTGTGCATGTATTTATATGCTTGGGAAAGCTGCAGTGAAATTACTGAGAAGCATTGCTGGAAAAGGTTGTGTTTTGCAGGTGAGGATTTCCTAATGTGTAATTTTGGTGTAATGTGCAGTGCTGGAGGAGGAGCGAGTTAGAGAACATATTGTGGCTCCTTGGCTTTTCTTTCTGATCTTTCACTGAAAAATCAAGGAAGTTCACTGCATGTTAGCTGGGTAAAGCTATGTGAGTACCCATAATGTGTTGCGTATGGTATTTTAGGCCTATGTTGTTAGTTATGAATTTTTGATCTCGTATGGGGAAAGAAAAAAAAAAAAAGTGCTTCTCACTAGTTAATGGCTTTACAGCCAAGGAATTTGAATGCTCTGTAAATGCTAGATCTTGTGAGTAGCATGTCGTTTTGCTTTGGTGTGTACAGCACAACACAACTCACTTTTCTGCAAAGCACCTCCTTCCCACATATCCAGTTTTATGTGAAATGAACAGAAACAGTTACTGACCCTCTGTTAGTCCTCACTGTCCAGAGATTAGATGAACAGTGGTCAACTGTTCTGCAGTATAGTACAAAACTCCATTTCCATTATTTTATAGCATACTGAATTCAGATATTAGCTAAGGTGTCTTTGGGAATATGACTTCGTTGTGGTCTGTCAAGGGTTATTTTACAACAGACTGGACAATTACAAAATGCTCACAATTTTCTGTGATGTTTTAGGCTCGTTTGGAAGTGCACAGGTTTGGAATCACTGGCTATGAGAAGCAGGAGCAGCGTCTATGGGAACGGGAACGTGCAATCATGCTGGGAGCCAAGGTAATTCTTGCTCATTTTGTGCTGGGAGGTGACCCAACTGTTACAATGCAGGGAAAGTGTAAGAAACACTGTGAGGTTTTGGTATCACTTCTTTAAAACACAAGATGCCATTCTCCACCCCTTCTTTCACCTCATGTTTACTTTTATGTTTTCTGTTCAGTCTGGTCAGTTTTCTGTAAACATCTGGAAAATTAATATTTTTGTGTTCTCAGACATATTTAGGTGAAATAGGACTGATTGGGGTGGAAAACAACATTTACTGATTATTTTTTTTATACAGACCTTTCAAAACTGAACAGCTAAGAGGATGGAATTGCTTTTATAAAGATCCATTTTCCCAGTGATTTGACAATTAAGAATTTTTCAGTTTTATTTATCACCAGCAGTATAAAAGGGGGAAAACGTAGTTTTTCTAAGTCTTCTTTGATGATTGGGAGGAGGGTATGAACTTTCCAGGTATGGTGTTATTTTGGAAACCTTGTAGATCTGTTACACAATATAAACATCTTTCCCACCAAGAAATACATTTTTACCATGTGTCTGCTTTACAGTCCTTAAGTCCCTTTCCTCTCAACTGAAGGGAAATAAACTATTACTTCTGCTTACCCACCACCTGAAAAATAATTTCCATGCAAGTATGTGAATATTTTTGAATCTATTTGAAAATTTCAGCAGAGGTATCACTCCCAATCTTTATTACAGCCTCCCAAAAAGGAACACATCAACTACAAGAAATACCAGGAGAAAATGAAGGTGAAGAAGACAACAAAGGATGATGATAAGGGGCAGGTTTGTGTGACATTTTGTCTATAAAAAGTCAACATGTAAGATCTAGCCCAAAAGCCTGATAATGCCTCAGGCACTGGAGGAGTGCCTGAGTTTGACACCTGCTGCTCTCATGAGGTAAGCTTGACTCCAGCACAACTCATCTCACCAGTCAGAGCTTGTCATGTGCAGTAGGAATGGTACAGAATTCAAACTGTGCTGTGGTGGGTTTCAGTGCCCTATTTGTGGAGGATGGTAGATTGATGATGCAAAATAAGCAGTTTTTCTGTGTTTTGGTTTTGTTTTTTTTTTTCCAAGGGAAAAAAAAATTGGTCTCCAATTAATGTTTGTTGCATTTTATCTAACCACAGGAAGCCAGATGTTCAGCTGGTTTTATATCAGTGCAATTCCATCTAGGATCTTGCTCATTATTTAAAGCGAGGGTGAGGTTTGTGTTGCATCCATCCTTTAGCATGGTCCATCTGGCCCCAAGCCTGTTCCCTGCCTGTGCTGTAGGTGGGAGCAGGCTGCCAGGCAGGTTTCTGCTCCACCAACTTGTCTTTTGCCACCTTCTTTTTCAGGGGACCTATTTCTCCTTTATCACGTGGCTTAAAGCACACCCAGCTTATGACCAAACACTGGCAAACCCTGTCACCTGATGGTGTGCTCAGTCAGGCAGCTAGATGTACTTGCCTGCTACTAAGTAGATCTTTTGACTCAAGGATCTATCTCGTACCCCTTGTGTGGCTGGATTTGTGTGCCCTTACGTGGCAGGGGTAGCATTTTGGTCGTGGGTGGACTGTGCTTTCCACAAGGTGACAGGAAGAGCTCTGGGCATAGTGCCCTGTGAGGCATTGCATCATCTGTCCTATCAGAAGGTATCCCAACCTGTTTTCATGCATCTGGTTCAGTGAAGCAAAAACAACTGGATGTTGTGTGTTCGGGCCGGGGCGGGGGCCGGTTAGCCAAAAAAAACCTGTTCCTTTGCCATTAAAATAGGCATCTTTAAACACAGGTACATAAAAGTGATACTCTGAAGAAAAAGAAGAAGAAAGACTTGAAGGAGAGGTAAGAAATTTTTAATGCTGTTATGTTTCTTTGATATAGTCTTGCTGATGTATTATCCCTACGTAACCATGCGTAACAATTTAATACCATATGAGAATTTTTCAAACTGCAGAATTCTCGTACAAAATGGTGACCTTGTTCCATGTTTAGCAGTTTCAGAGGCTTTAGTTAAGCAGCCTCAGTGAAAAGATGTCAGTTCTGCCCTGGTGTGTTTAAGATGACAGCTAGGATGGATGGAAATCCCTGTGTGGGGAGCCAGGATGTGACGTTCGCTCAGAGCATTTGCCCTGAGAAACAACTTTTGCAAAACAACAAGGTACAGCAAATAGAGGCTTGAAAAGTACAGTGACATTCTTAATTATAGTGTAGCAGGCTAGCTGAAATGTGAGACTCTTTATCTTCTTTATCTGAAATTCTTTGTTTTCAAATGTTTCTTTTAATGTAGTTCATTCTGTAATGTGCTGCAAGTTTTGACCAGTAACACAGGTAATAAATGTTCTGGGACCAATACATGCTCTAATTTGGTATTCCGTAATATGAATGCTGACTGCATAAATAGGTGATAGTTTTCAATGTATTGAATGTTTTAATGAGTTTCTGGTGTTTCTCTTGATTCATTTTCCTATTTACTATTTCAGAAAGGCCAAAAGGAAGAGATCAGTGCCCAGCATTTGGCCTGCAGGACAAGTTGGAAAATTCAGAGATGGGACCTTGATTCTACAAAGCGGTGACATAAAGAAAATTAAATCAACTAAAGTTATCAAATGAACTTATGATACCAAATGAAATGGATGAAAAGCATTAAAACAGAACTCCTGTTGCCACCAGAAGAGACTTACATAAGCCTTGCCCTGCCACCATGTCCTAATTCATTTACCTTATTTTTTCTTGCAGGGTTTTCTATCTCCTATTCTTGAGAGAATATGACAATTTACCATTTTATAAATAAAAGAAAGACTTTTTGATAATTAAGAAGGTTACATGGGTTGTTTTTATATGTGCTAAAGAAAGTGCTTTACTTTCTAGAATTAACTTATTGGTGCTAAGTGAAAAATTAATCCACCTAGTGAATTATATATTAAAATGTATAGCTCTTTGCTTTCATCTGGAAGAAATATGGCAAAAGCTGTACCTTATTTTCTCTTAACCTGAAGTAGGTGTTCTATATCAGGCATACATCTTTTCTGTGCTTATCTGAGTTGTTAGTGGAGAGTGGAACTACAAAACAGTTTTCATGCCCAGCAAAGCCTTTTAAGATTTCAGAATTATCTTCTCAAGAATGAAAAATGAGATTCTTCTGACGGTAAGAGTTAGAGGCTGAACTTGTATGTCTACAGAGAACACCAAATAAGTAGTTTCAGATGGTTATTGTGGGGGTGATCATGATGTAAGACAGTATGCAAAAACAGGCAACGTTCAAGACCTGAGCTGAATGCCAGATGAGGTACAGACATCCAGTAGCTACACATTGTTCATGGTTAACTTGTTTGTCATTTAACAGTTAACCTACTGGTAAAAACAAAGGAAAGAAGTTCATGCTTTGTTTTTTTTATATTTAAGGTTATTGAGCAGTTGTGGCAGTGAAGCAAATATACATGAGAAAGAAAATAGCCATTATTGGAGATGCTTCTTTAAATGTACAAGTGAAATTCAGCTTACCTATGAGGATTTGGAAAACATGCTTCCTAGCTGCCTCGTGGGAACCTGAATAAGCTGATCTCTAACCTCAGTGAACAGTGAAGTCTGAGCCAGCTTGCAGCTAGCAATGAGAACAGCAACACCAGAAGCTGCTCCCTTCCCAGGATAAGAAATTATCTTGATGTGGGGGAACTACAGCACAGGATGGAATACTTTCTCACACGATCTTTCCCCTGTACCTTTCACCTTACTTTCAAGTCTTGGAGAAGCACTGTGCCAATACAGTTTGAGGACTCAAAGGGAGGGAGCCCAGAGGAAAACAGTGAGGTAGAAAGAGGAAGGGAGTGTTTCTGCATGCTCTTCCCACATGGCTCTAAGCTGGATTGCTAAACGCTGTTATCACACTTTGTAATTGCTTAATCAGCATTGGTTGCAAATTCGTGCTGGAATTAACAATCCTAACTAGTTACTGAATATGCAGACTTAAGAAATGTCAAATCATGATTGCATTTGACGGTGTAATCACCAAGCCCAATTGTGTAGAGAGCATCAAAACTTGCTGAGGCAATAGATGAGCTTTGGATGTTATGGAATAACCTGTATCTTTTAATTCCTGGTTGATCCTTGAGTTTGGTGTTTGTTTATTTTTAATGCTCTCTTCTACATGCAATTCTGTTCATCTGGATTTGGGTATTATGTGCTGTGGGAGTTCATCCTCACTCAGCCTAGGTAATTTAAAGGGTTAAGTTCTTTTCCCACCTCCACAACTGCCAAAATGTTTCTGGGAGTGAAACTTGGTCTAAAGGAGGCATCTGAATTTTGCAGTCCTGGTGTCAAGTTTTAAAAGACCAGAAAAAGAGTTGGAGTTGAATGAAATTCAGTTCTTAAAATAAAAAGAAGAAAATTGGAATGCTAATTTGACAGTGAAACAAAAAACTTGGAAAAATTAAAAGCTTATTCAAGAAGCTACAGTTTCTCACACCTGTAATGTTGGTATGTATGCTTTTTTGTTATGTGGTGTTGTGTCTTTTTAACATCAAATCATTGAGGTGATTTCAGTTAGCCATACTACATACTTGCAGGATCATGTTCTCAGTAAAATATGATAGCTTTAGCCCAGTTTTGTAACTGGACACATTAACAAAAATTATAATGACTGCAATTTGGCTAACAACCGTTGAAAAACATTTATGCATTTACTGTTTCTCTGAACTAGAATGTGTTATTAATTAACAGAGTGTGAAAGTGTGTGTTCAACCAGCAAACAGTTGTTTTGGAGGCATATGCTGATGCATGAAACCAGCATTGACAGAATAACTGATTCATTATAGGTAAGGGGAAGCAGGGACCATTTATTTTTGCGTCCTGTCTGCAGTCAAGTAGCAGAATGAGGGAGAAAAGGAGATATCTTTAAATGTTTCTTATCTGTGCTTTCTCATGCCTCTTTCTGTGTTTTCTCATGCCTCTAACTGCGCTAAGCTTTATTACTGTTTCCCCATATGCTGAAGCCATTGATTTTATTTATTTATTTATTTATTTATTTTCTCCTCCCAATAGAAGTCTGTGCAGTGAAGGAGCTGATGCCAAGTTGTCTCTTGCTTAAAAACACCCTATCACCATGATGGATGATGTTTTTGTATGCTTATCTTTGCTTACTGCCAATTGTTTGGTTTGGATGGGCCTCTGTTCTTTCCCTAGCACTGCTCCCAGTGTGTTACTGTGCTTTCTTCTTTATTAACAGGCATTCATTGGGTTGCTTAGCTTAAATGTGCTTTTTTTGGAGCCTTGCTTAGTCCCTTTCGAGGCACCTGCTTGATGATGGTTTGCAGCATCAACAGTACATGTAATTTTAAACTGTTATGAAGTTTTACCTTTTCTGTCTTGTATTCTTACCTCATGGCCCTAAGGAACACGCGAGTCAGAGCTAATAGAGCGGTGCTGAGAGAGAGGTGTTTGAATCTGGCATATGTGTAAAGGTGAGACATGGATGGTTTATCTGAGTAAGAGACTGGCTTTCTCTGAATTGCTCTTGGCTGTGGTAATGAAGTAGGTATCAGCAGTTTGGCACGTGTCCTGCACGAGTGCCCCATCCACACAAGACAGCTTACTCAGTAATAACGAACAGGGTACTGATGTTGGATTTGTTGGCAATGTTTTAAGAATTTATTTAGAAATTGTAAAATGGCATAAACTCATACGTCAGTCCAAAAGAGTAATAATAATAATACACAAAGTTTTAGTCAGACCAAAAGACAAAAAGCAGTTTGTTTCCAATTCAAAAAATACAAACTTTGCTACAGATACAAAATTATAAAAAGTTTATATTTTCCTCTCGATCTGGTGACAGACACATACAGAAGAGATGTATATTTCACCAGTTCCAAATTCATATAAGCTGTGGGAGATGATGCTGAAGAAAAGAACGTCATGGTTAAAAGAAAACAGAAACAACTTCTCGTCTTTCACTTAACCAGAAGTGAACACCGTTATCTTACTCCTTTGCACGTTTTTTGGTTGCCAACATTTAAATCAGTGTTATTCATGCTTCATATAACAATCAGAAATAACAGCAGTTTTACCTCATGCATTTATTTTAATATTCATCACATAATATCTTCTCACCATGCTACCTAGAAAGGTCAGTGTTTTTATTGACAACATTTAAGGGAGGTGGTATCAGCAATCATGATGAAAGGATGCAATCCGGATCCATAAATATTTATATCTACTGATTTAAGGAAAAATAATAGAAATCTTCCAATTGGGGGAAAAAAGTGATATTCTGCTTGTATTTGCTTCCAATAACAAACAGAACAAAAGGAAGGTTGCTTGGCAGAAGGGGAACGTGGTGCTGAGTACCTATTGCAGTCAGTGCACATCTGTCTCCTGTATTGTGCAAAGCTGCAGAAGCCCCACACATTTAGTTTGTGTGGCTTGCATATGGGCTTCTGCACTTAAGAAGACTGAGTGCTTCTTAACCATGATGGGTTTGTGCTTCCAGCTGCCACTCCAGCCACCTGCATGTGCGCAGTATTCAGTACTACAAGATAATCACCAGAAATGTTGTCAGTAAAAACTACAAGCAGCTCGCTTCAAAGAAAAAGGAGGGGAAAAAAAGAAAAAAAGAAAAAAAAAACCTCAAAAATGAAACGTTACTAAGATGATCTTTGTTTGGTAATTGTTGGTGACAAGTGCCGTTTGCATTTGTGATGCATTTGTTGCAATAACCTGTTGGTGGACTTGTAACTGTAATCTCCTTTGCAAAGCTGAGCTAGCCAAGATGGGTTTTCGTATTATTTTGCCTGGTTCAAAGGTTAATTGTTTCCTATGCTATTTAAGCAGAATGCTACAAAGCTGGTAAAGCCTGAGATTAGGTTTAACAACTCTATTTCCTTGTCATTCCCTTTGTGAACAGAAGATGTACTCGATGGCTGTTAGCAGGTTGCTGTGCTCTTCATCCCTTCTAACAGAGACAGGTTGTCTTATTTATGGTCCAGAATGCACCACCTCATTGGCAATCACAGACAGTGTTTTTTCATGTGGTGGTAGTGGCAGCTTAGCCTTGACCTTCTCATTCTTACCTCTTTTATAAATATTATCATGTAAGAAAGGAGAACAAAAACTGCATATCACATTTCTTTTTGCTCTAGAACAACTAGGAAAGTAGAGGACTGGGTGCTCTCTGCCATCTTTACTAATTACACTTTGAAGAAAAGAAAAATTAGATAACAGACTTCTACAGCACTATGACAGAACTCTACCACCAGCCAAGAACAAACTACAGCAATACACTTTAATGGCTTTATTTACAACACAATGGAACATTATGCATATAATAAATCACATTTGATACTTTTCCTCCTAAGTTCTCGTATATGTAACCTTGTGCTTTTTTTTTTTTTTTTTTTTTTCTTTTTATTTTAGTCCAATGTATTTCATTGTGTCTCAACTATGTAGCAAGTATGGGATATGACTGAGCTGTCTCCCTGTCTTCTTTGTTTTAGAAGCCAAATTGCTTTCCAAATTAAAGATACATCACAGTTTCCTACTATCCTCACTGATATTTGTGTTACAGTGCACACCTTCCAACCTCAGAAGAAGTAAGGGAGTGTCACCTAGGCCTGTGCCCATATTGACATTACTTCTCTGTAAAAATATCTTTGTGGTAGTTTATTTGTGTTGATGAGGGAAACACAAGTGTAGGCAATGGTATAGCACTGCACGCCCTGGGAGTCTGACAATACCCCTGATGGTACAGTTCTTCTACTTGGTCCCTCTGAACTCAACAGGGAAATTTGCAGAGGAAAGAGCTGGGACAAGGGTTCACAAAGGATGACATTTGGGTTCACATGGATAGATGAAAACCAAGCATCCCTCATTGTCCTGCAGGATAGAAAGTTTGCTTACTGTACTTAGATGCAGATGCTCCAAACTGACATATGCAGAAGTCAAGCTTCATTGTGCTTAGTAGAACAAGACTTTTTTAAACATTAGGTTTACAGGTGCCTCACATGGACTCTGCGCCATGTGGGGCAAGATTCATCCCAGCTCAGAAGGCTCTATTCTCCTGTTTACAAGGATCAGCCTGTGCTCCAGGGGCAGATGCGTCCCATGAAAGGCATCTCTGTGCTTACCTAGGTGCCTGGGAAGCAGTCTGAATAGTTAGTAACACAATTTCTGCAAGGAACGTACTACTAAAGGCTGGCTCCCTTCCAAAGAAGAGATTTGGAGGAAACAAAAGCTGGCAAAAGTGATGCTGCAGATAAAGAACGTGCAGACAGCTGGGCTTATAACCAAACGGGAGAGTTAACTTGCAGAGAAACAAGCTATCTCCAGCCTGAGCAGAGAGGTGAAAGTAAGTGCCACATTTCTCCCCACCCAATGCTATTCTGCAAAAGGAAAGTTCTGCTCTGGTCTATGTTTAGAGTGGTTTATGTAAAGTTCTGCTGCCACCTGGATGCTCTGCATAAGTACACATAGAGTAACGAGTTTCCTAGCAGAATTCTAACTACTTAAGCATTTACTCTGTTACACTACTACTAAAATTGATCCAGCTGAAGTCATGAGACTGTGCTCTATGGGGTTACTTGGCTTATTGCTATGGATCATGCCAAATCCAAGTCCTTGAATATGTACACAACCAACATATAGTCAATTTTGTTTAGATTCAGACCTGGTGTTGCTAATGCAGGATACCTACTTTTAACTGTATTCCTTTTATTTGCATCTCCACTAGGTTACAAAGAGACTATAATGGCAGTTACTTATTCTGTACCTCACACGTATCTGTACAGGTGTTAGAATAATAAATGAGCTTCTCCATGCTTCTCTACAGATCTGAAGTATGTCCCCACCTACTGTCCTTGTTTGCATTAAAACACAGTAACCAGTATCACTCGCTGCATTCTCCCCAAGGTACAACACTAGGAACCGATACCAAAGCATCTATGATAACCAAAACCAAGTACTGCAAACACTTCTAAAACCCATTCTGAATTAATTTTAAATGCCTGGTGGTGGGTGAAGAGTGGAAAGACCTAAATTCATTTGAATTTCTTTCACAGAATTTGGTAGTAAAGACAGAGGTTCAGTCCGAAAGCAAACAACACCTGGTTGCTTTTAATAAGAAAAGTGAAAGGGGAGTGTCTATTAAAATTATCACAGGATGTTTCCCAATATAAAAATCTATGTGCAGCCTACGTACAGTATTCCCACACACTGCTCTGACTGGCAATACTTGAAGCCAATGCTGTGATTACAGCTCTTGTGTTCACTGAAGACAGGTTTGCAATGAGCACACTCAGGAAGAAGTCTGGGGTCCAGGAGCATTTGAGCTGAGGTAGGTTAAAGCAGACCCACTAAATTAGAAAATCGTGCATGAGTTCACATGGCATTAAACGAAACTGAAAATTAAAACTCAGTTGGTTTTTGCTATTCTTTAAGAAATGAAGATGAGTGTAGCACAGTTATGTCTAAAACTTTACTAATACAATCCGTGTCAGAGTGAAGAAAGTATAGTTGTACAGTTGCTTTCCCATTTAACAGTTAAGGTTATATTTTCCTGCTGTTGGTTTTGTTTCCTATTTCAGTCTTGACGTTACTAGAGGTGCACAGCTGTTCTGCAGGAGAGGTGGCCATGAGATATCAGCCAGGTATGGGCACTGGTGACAGGCTGTGATTCACCTGTGAAATTGCCTGTAACTACTGCAGGATGGGTTGCCTTTCCCTCTCTGCAGTGGCTGCAAAGAAGATGCTGCCAGTGAGGTGCTGGCTGCTGTCTCAGTGCAGCCCTCTGTGCCACCTGAGCCATGTGTCTGAGACTGAATACACACCTGCAGCTGGCTGCTCTGAGAGAGGCCTGAGCTGACGATCCTGTGGCCATAGCGTAATGTGAGGCAGTAAACTGCATTGGTATTAGAACACACTTTTTCAGGCTTCATACCTGCTTGGCTGAGAACAATATGCATGTGCGTATATGTATGCTTGGGTAGGAAAATCTGTACAAGAAGCATTAAACAGAGGGTTTAGTACATCACTAGGATGTAAGAGTTGGTGCTTTTCATGTCTGATATCACCACGCTTACGTAGGATTGAAATAACAAAGCCCAGAATGTCATGGACACACACAGTCTGCTGCATCTTGTTCTTATGCATCACCTCTATACACACAGTTGCATATGTTAACTTGTTTCAGAAGAAAAGAAACACACACAAATCAATGTGTTTTTGGACACCAGCATGCAGGTGAGAGCTCTGTTCTGTGCTGGGAACTTCCGTGGTGGTCAGATTCATGTTGTCATGGACAGCACCTGACACGGCCTCTTGCTTTCACGGGAGATGCAAGATACATCCAAGTCTTGAAAGGATTTATGTCCTATTCCAGAAAAATTCTTAAAAATTGATTTAGCATTTATCTCATAAATCTCTCCTGTTTAAATGCTTCATGGAGACCAAGACATTAGTTACATGATCAAAATCTAATAGAAAATTAAGGCTTTTGATCTCAAAGCTACATTGGAACTATAGCTGTGTAGGACTTACTGGGATCAAGGCTGGAAAGCAGTATTTCTCTATGTGGGATACTGTGCACGTACCATATTTAAATAAAACTCTTATTAGTTAAATTAAAAAAGATTCCTCTTGCTTCATTTTTCAAGTGATGTGCTGATAATCATCAATGGATTTTCTCTATGAGTAGTCCACACAGTCACAGTTAAGTAAGATACATGAAAATGTACCAGAAATATTTTCCTCTCCACTTTTCGTATCTGAATTCTGCACATACCATGCTGTAAGCTCAAATAAGCACAACTATTACACAACAGCATCTGGAAACTGTTCCTGTTCTTGTTGAAGATAAGTGCAAGTTCTGCCACTGAACTTGAGGGGAATGTAGTGCAGAGCTTATGGCGCTTTGGAGCCAGAAGGAATAGTTAAGTGTTATTTGAGCCCCTGGATGTAACAGATAACAGAATCTTGCCTGTGAATTCTTTAACTGAGCACACAGCTTCCACTTCAGCTGCCAGAACACATGCTGTCTTCAATTAAGGACTGCAGGTGGCAAAGGAATCTCGTTCACCGACTGGTAAATTGTTCCAACAGCCATTGTTCCCCAGTCCTAGTCTTGCCTGTGTTTTCCAGCATGCACAATATCTTTTGAGCACAAATCCCAGCCACAAGAGAGAAAATAAACTCATTTAACTTCTCACCTTATAAATATATACATGTGTATGCGTGTGTGAGCACATGAGTGCAGTGCAGATATGTTCAGGTACCCATCTGTAATCCAGTGCCAGTTCTGTGGGTATGCTTGCTATGGCTTGTTAAACTAAAGATGGAGTGGGCTAGTTGTAACCAGCAGAGTACTCAGTGAGCAATGGTGTAGAACATTCCACATTAGGGAAGAGAGTGCTTTTTTACTGACTTACTGAAATGTGCCAAATCACACTGAGACAGCTTACAGAATCCAGCACAGGGTCAGGCAGGAGTGTCATTAGTTGCTGGGCAACTTTGGCTGCTTTACACATTGGGGAACCTCCAGTCCTGTGTGCAGTGTCACCTACATAAAAAAGAAATAACACCGACTATCAAAACTGGAACATCTCCAGCAGAAAGCATTTGTGAAGGCCCAGAGTAAGCAAATGACAAGAGTGGGGCTGTGGAGCTTCTGATCCAAGATTAAGTAGTTAACTGTATTTATGGGATGATATTGAGCCCCTAAAATTACCAGGAACCCGTCTGTGCTGAGCACCTTGGGGCCTAGAAGCCAAGTGCCAACAGTTCTTCCTAAAGTAAGCCACTATTTCTAGAACTCCAACAGTACTCCCAAGCCCAAGGTGGTCAGTTTTTGTGTGAGGGACTCTAGAGGAGTTCAGGAAAACAATGACACTGTTGAAACAATGTACTGAATATATAAAAAAAAACCTTTCTTCCTTGTTCTGGCAGGGCAGAGCACAGTTCCTTCTACAACATGACAATATTTCTACAAGTTCAGAGCACCCACGCAGACATTTCAGAGCACCATTCAACAGCAAGTCAAATTCATAGCTTCCCTCTCACACCTTGTTGGCCATGCCTTGCTTTATTTTGGTCGTAGAAAGAACTTTTGCCAGCTGCTTACAAGATGTAGGTATTAAAGGCAAGCTGCAATTGAAAACCATTATTGAAAATAGCAGGGAAGTGCCTGTGTCTTCTACTTTTGTGCATCAAATACAATAAAGCTATGAAACTTTCCTGAAAGATTTAGATGCCACCGTCCTCAGGCTTCTGGCTCTTTCCACAGGTAAAGGCTCTGGCTCTCCATAGAACAATAAATGTTGGAAAAGACCATTAAGATCATCCACTCCAACTGTCAGCCCACCCCCTCCATACCCACTAACCATATCCCTCAATGCTACACCTCTTGTTGCATTACCTCCTGTTTCAGCCATATGACGTGGTTTTGAAGTTAAAAAAGCATAATATTTGAAGTGTTTCTCCAAGAGGAGATCCTCTTGAGAACAGAGCAGTCTCTGAACTTCACCAGTGATGTGCTGACTGAGCCTTCTCTGCTGGACTAATCCCCTGACCTATGCTGACTTTGCTCAACTAACTGCTATGCTGCTGGATTTCTGTCTGTTGCCAATGCTAATTATCTCTCAACATAAGATCTAAGAGGAATTCACATCCTTGTGTTGTTTTTGTCAAACTGGCAGAGGAAGCCTTAGCACTGCTGCTTTATAAGTGGAGCATTGCAGCAGAATGATGAAGGCATGCAGGCATGTTGACTTGTTTTTATAACACTACCCTTTGCATCTGTGAGGCAAGACAGAAGGCTGAAATCAGTTTTCAAGAAAGCATTAGTAGTCTGGATGTCTGACAAGGAAAGAGCCAATATCCACACTGACTACCTGCCTATGATGTTATCAGTCACAGCAGAAATGGCCAGGGGCACATAGCCCCCTTTACCTGAACAGATTAGGTTGCATTGAACTATAGAAGACTTACCTGAACGTTTCGGTTGAGGCTTAGTGCAGGCATGAAGACACCCTCTATGTTTTCAAAAGCTGGAGGCCCTTGTTGCTGCCCATTTATGTAGAAAGTCAGGCTGTGCTTATTTAGATCCAGGAGGACACCAACAGTGGCACCTTTGGAAACTCCTCCTTCTGTCCTGAAGTACAAATGCACACAAAGAGGTTTAATGTAGATAGAGTGCTGCGCCACTCCTGTTCCCTCTAAGACATGCAGTCTCAAAAAACAAGGGAAGAATGGAGCAGCACAGCACAATGCTTATCCCCACTGCACTTTGACTGTGACCATGCCACACCTTTACCCAAAAGAGATGTTCATCAGAGCTTAAAAGGGGTGTCATAAAGAGAAATGAGGTCCATCTCTCCTCCAGCTGTAAGCTAAGAGATGATAACGGTGTCCAAATCCCCTAGGCTGACAAGAAATGGGCAGGTAAGTAGATCAGTCCATTGCTCAGTGTGCAAGGCAGGACTTTTGGAGGCAGAGCTCCTGAGAGTGCCCCTGCTGTAGAATACTGTTGCACAGCAGAAAATGTAAAAGCAGAACGCTTGTGTCCTTGGCACTCCTTTGAATCACTCTACCTGCTGGCAGCTAGAAGCTTATCTTGGCAGTCTCTAAGGGGACCTGATTTTCCAGGGTCTGGGGAGCCCACATAGGTCCATAAGCACTGGTTTTGCGGAGGAAGGGAAGGTAGGGCAGATTAGGGACAAGCACAGGTCCATGACCAAGCTCCTTCAAGAGCTGGGGCACAGCTATTAACATTGGTGCTAATTGGCTGTGTCAGGAGCAGCTGCTGAGAGCTACCATGGTGTCAGAGCTTGCCAGGGTAGACCCAGCCATTACATGCATGAATGATTTGACACTAACGCACTTTGATTCGGGGGTTAGTCAAATCCAATAGTGCTTTAAAGAGCGTTGAGCAAGAAATCTGCTACATGTGCAGATTGGCCACAGGCACCACTGCTTCACTAATGTCACAGGGGCTATGCGATGGATTTACAGCCTGACACAATTTGTTCAGGCTAAATCAGATTTCAAATCATTTGCATTAGGAAAGGAAGTGACTGTCTTTTCTATCACAGGCTGCCCTGGGCACATGAAATTCACAAGATAAATGCAGTTTTAACAAAAGATTTATTGTAAGAGTTGGCATATATATAAAAAAATTAAATACGACTAGAAACATGGTGCAGGGTAAGACATTTTCATCGTGTCCACTAGGTGTCATAAACGGGTTTCCTTCAAACTAAATGTGGCACTTGATATTTCCTTTAAAGGTAACAGGAGCTTTATCCATGATAGTGATGGCAATAGTGTGCTGACATCTCCATTTAAAGCTCTTCACACAATAACAAAACAGTTGAGAATCACCAGTTAAGTTTTCAGATATGTAAGATGTATAACTATGCAGTTCTGAGCTCCCTTAAATTTATTCCTGGTACTATAAGCATTAATACACTTGTTTTTGTGCTCCTCTCCACAACCGTAAACATAATATTTTCCAACAAAAGTTAGGACATTTACCCATCCTCAGGATCTTAGTATCTAGGATGTTCGTATTGAATGCACTCAACCATAAAATTCATAATGGCTCTGTGGGAGGTGGCAGCACCACAACTCAGAACTACCTACAAGTGCGTTACATTATTTTTTTCTCCAGTGGGGAACAGCTCTGACTGTAGTGCACCACGTTTTATATCACGCAGTGTTTTAAACCAGATTTTATGACATCTTTCTAAATGGCATCAATTCTCTTGGGGAAACAGCTTTGCCTTTTTGAGATGACGATGCTCTTTCCAATATAATAAACTAATTTGCTTCTAGTGGGCTAATTAGCTGTGTGCTACACGGTGACATTGAGTGACTTCTCTGCAGTCCACAGGGAATGCCGTGCTGGAGAGGAGCTGCTGCTGGCAGGGCACACGGCCCAGCCTGTGTCAGCACCTCCAAGCTGAGTCCTTTCTGCAATGCCTTTTTAAACTGATAATGGTCATTGTGCTATAGGCTCCTGACAGCCTGCAGGCTGTGTAAAGGGAAAGCACAGCCACCTGCTGCAGTGCTTCTTCAATGATGATCCATTTTTGAAGACACGCGCCACTCTTTCGTTATTCCAAGTAAATCCCAGTTCTCACACAGCTTTTCACACAGTCCGACAAACATTCATCTCTGTGCACAAGGCTCAGTGCTGACTCTGACACTGTGTGGAAGGCTGGAAGGTCTGAGTACGGATACACCAATTTGGCTGCCCTGAAAAGTGCAACTGACTGCTGCAGTGGAGTCTCACCTTCCCAGGATGGTTTCAGCAGCATTTTGGGCAGTTTGCAAAGCTGGACTGAAATGATTTGGGGAATTAAGAAGAGCAGTAAGTTTCACTATCACTGAAAAATCAATCTTAATATATAAGCACTGTTTAATATGCTGAAGAATTAGTTTAACTCTGCACTAGCAGCATTTATATAGTGAGCTTTGCAGGAACTTTGCTGCATCTACTGTCAAGAACAGTCTTTTTCAGCCAATTGTAACATTTTCGTTTGATGAGAACTTGGTCTTGAGACCTCCACGATTAGTAAGAAGACTCTCTTCATGCAGGGAGCTTAAAGATTAGCTCTAGATTTTGACTTTCCATGTCTTCCAGCATAAAATATAAAACATTCCAGTGTGATTTCAATCACTTTCTTCATGCAGCAATGCAGTGGCTGGACTACTGCCTACAGCACAGGGTACTCCTGCTTTTGGAAACATTATGAGGAACAAGTACTGCCATGAGTGCCTCTGTGCAATGGGCAGAGGTCTCTGGTGTGAGCTGGTTACTTCCAGGAACAACAAGGCTTAAAGGTGCCCCATAGGGCTACGTCCCTGAGCTGTCTTCTAAACTGGTGTTTGCTTAACCTGTTTTCAAAGGTCTCTCTGGTTTTGATAGCATTAGATTCATCTGTTCATGCCTTTTTTTCTAGCACTGCTGAAGACAGGCCCAGCCTGTCCGTTTGTAAGGATGTAGACAGGTCTCATGGTGCATATTGTGAGTGAAAAGAACAGGAAAGTGCTCTAAACCTGGCAGGCCCCATGCCTAGGTCTTTCAAGCTCCACCTCAGTTTATCCCTGAAGCCATTCATTAATTTATCACTCTAATTTAACTTTGAGCAGATTTGAATGGATGATATGATTACTAAGATATAGTCTCCAATACAGGAGCATCTGAGAGGCTAGAAGTTGGCAAGAAATTTTCTTTGAACTGTGACAGTGTGTTCTCATGCCCTTGTCTCCAGTGGGAAAATGTCAAGGCAGCAACAACTGTTTTCACAAGACTACCACAGCTAACGAGTTAAAAAACTGACCTACTTGACTTCCACAGTTAAAAATATAATGCTTAGACCTAATTTCATTGAAGCGCATGTGATTCCATGAGACTACATGCCCTTTGTCAGTGTATTTCACTTGAAAGAATATTTCATTGGTCTGCCCATTCCTTGGATATGCCTGCAAAATCTTTGGGCTTTTCCCAGTAAAAACAGGGAAGCTGTTGTCAACAGAAAGTACTCTGCTCTCCTGTTTAAGCAGGATGATTGGAAATTCAAAGTATTTCCACTGTTTGTGCTTCTCAGAAGGAAAGCTTTTGCTTGGCTCATGTGTTGCTTGTGGGAAGGAGCACATCTGTGACCAAATCAAAAAAATAGGTTTCTGGGACAGCAGCACACACAGTGTTTGCCAGCTTTTTTCCAGAAAGCATAAGCTGTTTCATAGAGCATTAAAATTAACACAGCTTAACATTACTTCCACCCTAAATCAAATCAAATCAAGATATTAAAGGAACAGAGAAGCTATGGACACATTCGTTATTCTGATGTTATTTTACTCTACGTTTGCTCAGGACATGGTTTCCATATTTACTTAGGACATTATCTAAGGCCTTTGGGGCCAATGAAAATATTCACCTTTACTTCAGATAGCTTTGGGTCCAGCTACAGGGTTCTTCCAACTTCTTCAAACAGAAACCAAACTACTTCAAACAGAAATTACTCTCTTACTCACTTAAAATACAAGTATGTTTTAGAGTATGAGTGACTATTCAACAGCAGACATTACAAGCAGCTTTAGGATGCCATGAATACTGGCATGAACTTCTCTCTCTAAGAAGATAACACAAGCATTTGAACATTTTAAAAAACACTGAAGACTTCCCTTTTAATTATGTGATATAACAGAAACAACGTCTGAGCACATGAGTATGGAAAACTTGCAGAGACAGTCATTGGAAAACTAAACCAAAACTGATTCCCAGTCTGCCAAAGACCTGCTGTATATCCCCGGTCAGTCACTTTGTACATCCATCTCCCATCATGGTAAAGTAGGTACACAAAAACACTGTTCCTAAAATACACACAGGATTTAGGATCCTGAATCTCAGCCTTTAGCTGAGATTTTCTCAAGGGCCTCAGTCCCTGTAATACACAGCTGACCTTCAACTAGGGCCTGACCCTCCCTCTGGGCACAGAGTGAGCAGCACATTCTTGCACTGGTGGTACCCCAGGGGCCCTCATGTGAAGCTGATTGTATCTCCTGTACATGGGGCAGCATCCCATCAAGGAAAACAATCAGCGCTTCGCAGAGTTAGCTACTGCAAGTTCTAAGAGCCATGCCTCCATGTCAGCACAACACTAAATCCATGCTAATGTGCAATGTCCCTGAGGGATTCAGCCCTGGAGCCAGCTTCTTCTAGATCTATCCCCACCATTCTGCTGTATGGAGCATGCAGATCCTCTCTTTTAGTCAGGAGAGAAAATGGGGTTTGGTAACTATGGTTTGGGGGTATCCCCAAATCCTCCTTTGTCAGTATTGGTTGTCATGGATGAGACATCTTCCAAAGGTTTTGAACACAATGACTCAGTCGAGGGAGGCAGACACTTCGCCTTCACAGCCCTAGTGTCCACATCACACTCAGTTGTGGCCTACAGCACAGCACTTAGTCAGCTTTCAGGACTCACAAACACCTACATTGTGGCCAAGCAATCACCAGTGAGTTTGCTTAATGACCCTGTAGCCAAAGGTCTTCCTAAAGAAGAGAATGGATTGCATTTCTGCCTGTGTTCTTCCAGCAGTGAAATAAATCCTGCATCTATGACTGCATGGCACTCCTATCTACTGACACTGAGGGTGAGACATGCCACTATGGGCTTAAACAAAGCAGAGGAGATTCAGGCCAGATCTCAGGAAAAACCTGCTAAGAGAGGATAATGTACATAGATACAGATTGCTAGGGGAGAAGATGCCATTGCCATCACTGGTGATTTGTAAGAACAAGTGATGCAGACTTCTGTTAGGAATAAAATAACTCTATTTGGCAAGGAGATGGACTACAGCTTACTGAGATCCCTTCCTCTGATGACAAGCAACAAAAGCAATCAGTAAGGAGAGAAACATGCAGACAGTGCTTACCGGTTGGTGTGAGAATTGCAGTGCATGAACCAGCTGCGGTTGTTGTCAACGTACATAGCCCACGCCTTGTCATCCTTGCCTAGCATCATGTCCTTGACAACATTAATCCTGGCAATGCCAAAGGCTGGATCAGGATGGTTGTCATACCGATCCACGTGCAGTTCCCAGTAATGCACGCCCTTGGAGAAGGCGGCCGTGCCAAGGACAACGCGGTCATCGTAACTGCTGCAGGTGGCGGTCTGGTTGTCGTTCGACAGCACAATGTCCCTGTGAGCTGAGGAGGGGTCGAAAGTGAACCATGCCACTGTGTGAGGGAAAAGGAGAGGCAAGATTACAGCAGAATGGGCTGCCACTACCCATCAGCCACTTTATTTCCACTAGGAAAACGAGACTGAGACTTCCTAAAGATCCCATGGCACTCTCGAATAACAAGGAGTTCTTCCTTATTAAAAAAGGCAGTTACACAAGATTGCTCTGCACTGTGACCCAGCTCAGACTGCCCTTTGGTGAATGAGAGAGAAAGGAAAGAATGTTTCATGCAATCTGCATAGCCCAGTAATAACTGAAAGGTGCCTTTCAGTCCATTTGTCTTGAAGGTGCTATGAAGTGTTAATTACTCATGTGTCTTATGTCATCTGTGCCTGCATATCAGAGTGTAGGTTTTTAAGGAGAGTGACTTTCTGTTCTCACACAGTAAGAAGAAAGTCATTGAAGAAACAAAGGCTTCTCTATATAATGTAAAAGCCATTCGCAGATGTGAACTGGTTCAGGATTGCCTCTAATGGAAAAGGAGGACCAATGTGTCCACAGTGGTTAGGACAAATTTCATCAGTTTATCAAAGGGGGGAAAAAGAAATCCAACCAGAAAAAGCACTTAAAGTATAAAAGTTTTATACTGGCCTATTTTGGCAACAGCATAAAAGTGCATGTAAGGACAGCACGTACTTCCCAATTCATTACGGTATCATTACTGAAGATGAACTTCTGTAATGCCCGCATGGATGTCAACTATAATTACAGAGGAACAAGCATGAATTCCCATCTCTGTCTTATCAAACCTTGCTGTGAAATTGAAGCAGTAAGTGAGGAAAAAAATAAATTCCACAAATGCATGGAGAAGTGGAGGCGGAGTGGCATATAAATATCCAGTGCCTAATGGCCTCCATATGCTAAAACAAATAAAAAACTTAATTAGACCCCAAAAGTAAAATTGCACTTATTTGAAACCTGAAGTGTTACCTACAATGGAAAATCCCCTAAGGTTTAAAGAAATGGGCTACTTGACTATTATCATTACTGGATTTAGGTCTAGGTTATTCCTCCAGAAACGGCAGGCTCAGTGCAGCCCAAGTGCACCACAGAAGCCATCAGAATACATCAGAATACACCCACAGCTGTTTGTGGTATTGGCACTGACACTTGACAACATCAGTCATTCGCATGCAGGTTGGATTCAACATCAAACTCACCATCTGATGTCTGTAAAATAACTGTCTTGCTGTATGGACCAACTCCAGATGAGTTAAAAGCTTTGACTCTTGCATTATAGGTGCTGTTGAAATGAAGGCCATCGATAGTGCAGAGAGTCTCCTTGCCAACATATACTTCCTAAACACACACACACACACACGAAAACAAAACAAAACAAAAAACACAACTATTCCTTTCTGCCTCATAATCACATTAAGATTTGTAAACATAAATCACAAGTAAATAGCTTATGATGGCTTCAGAGAATGCAGAGTGCATGCTGTAATAACATGAACAGCTACAGAAGTGAAAACAAGAGGTAAGGTCAGCAGTGGAGACACTAAGGTGAAGGTAAAGCTGAGAAGGTACGGCACCTAAAGGCAACATAAAGATATATATATATTTTTAATCCTATTTTCCCATAACTTTTACTCCAAAACATTTACTCCAAAACTGTTTTGGAGAGTAGTCCCAGAACCTTAACCACCATAGACCTTCTTTATATTTATATAGAACTATAAAAACAGGGAAAGGAGGAATTAAAAAAAAAAAAAAAAAAAGGAAGTACAGTTTCATTCTGTTGGAAAGGCTTCCTCATGCCTGCATTAATATATGATTCTGAAACCTGCTAAGACAGGGCCAGAAGAAGCCAGCCTCCTAAAGGTTAGGACCACATGCATCACCTGATGAAACAGCAATTAGACAGCAGAGATGCAGTAAGAGTCTGCAAGGATTTGTTAAAGAGCAAGCACTGGTGTAATGTGAAATATTGCAGGAGGAGGAAATGCTAGGCAAAATAATGAACAGGATCAGCCAGATGATAGTTTGTGATGAACTGTAAGTAGCCTAGAAACCTCACATTTATTGGAAAGTCGAACAAAGTAATAGAATATGAGAGAAAAGGAAACAATTGTGCTTAGGCAGCAGGCTGAAAGTATTCACAAATATTTATTTAGATGTGAATAATACTAGAAATGTTTTATCTGTGAAGCTGGAATGTGCCACACATCACCCCTAACACCTCATTCATTATGCTACTCTTACCTACTGACTGCGTCAGCAGCTCTTGAACAAAGGAATCTTTTCACATCTCCAGTGGAAGAGACCAGCCTCTTCAAACATATGCCAAATGGTTCTTGGACCAAGGAATCAAGAAATTCCAGAAACACTGCGTACTTCTCAAAATGCAGTACCAACACTGCTGTTTTTTCTAATGAGGAGCATCCAAATGAGGTGTCTCTGCTGGCTGTGGATGTAGCAGTCTGGCACAGGAAGGCAACTGAGGGAGGTCAGGCAGGCCAGTTCCAGGCCACTTTCACCTCTAGTAACCTTCAGGGTTCCAGAGGGAAGTCAGTTTACAGCTCCTGGACAAATCACATCCCATGTTTTGGCATGATTTCCCATTTGTGAAGAGAGCAGATGTGCTCTGCAGTAATGATTTCAAGGCACTAGCCTCTAGGGATGGCATTGGTTTAGCATGGTCTTGAAGTAACAGAAGCATGAACAGCAGCAGCAAGCCACAGCACTGCAGACCACTGCTTCCAGCAGGACATGGCTGGCAGAAAGCTGTTTGAATTATTTCTGTGGTTTGTTTTTTGGGATGTAGAGGGAGAGGATGGGAGACTGGAAGTATTCAGCACCCTCAGGCATAAGCAAGCAGTCATGGAATCACACTGGAGTTCTGGGAGAATGGCACTTGGGGTGTCCTCCCACACTTACCAGTGCCTCTGCAGCATACCTGAGGAACACTTCCCCCAGCCTTGTCTCCCTTCCAGAAAAAATATTAGCAAACCTATATTTTTTACACAGGAAGCCAATTTAACTCAGAAAAATAGGAAAAACTGAGTTGCACTTCCAGACCAAGAATCTCATCTGTCAGAAGAGGCCACTATGGACAGGCAAGAGGAAGGACTTCAAAGAAATCTTTGATATGTGGCGTGAGCCACTTTCAGATCTTACAGGCTGGTATGGGATTTTCTGTAGGGTCGTTCTCCAGGAGGGGTATACAGTAGATATGGCAGTGACTTGAAATTCTATCTTTCAAATCCACAAGGCCTCTTTGCCAGTACCCAGGAAAAGTTTCAACCAAGCTTCCTATCACAGCCGGGACTTCTAATGAGCAGAAACCACAACCAAGGCTTTCTACATCTATTTGACGGAAGCAGGGATGCTTTGATAAATTGTACCTTCCCTGGCTCCTCTCACCCTCCTCTCAGACATGAATCTATTTCCTGAGGAAACTTGCATACAAAGAAATACAAATAAATGCTGAATTAAATTCTCACACGAAATTGGCCACCATCTCCATCGTCAAGTTCCAGGATATAACCCTCCACTGGGTTGTGGCTCAAAGGTGGCATCCTCCAGGCCAATGTCACACTGTTGTTTCTGGTGCAACACTTCTCCAGTTGCAGTAGTGGGACGGGTGGCACTGTAACAGGAACTGGGTACAGATTAGTGTAGCTCTGTCCTAGCTCCTCAGTCTGTGCCGGGAGGAGGACCACAATCACTCACTTCTTTCCCTTCATGGAAGTCAATGTTATTATAGAATGATTTGGGTTGGAAGGGATCTTTGATCTAGTCCGACCCTTGAAGAGAGCCCTTGAAACAAAACCCAGTAAAAAAATAAATAACAAAATGTCATTATTTAGCTAGACAAACCATTTGGTTGAAATATGTAAATCAAGACATATTTAGAAATAATTCCAGTTGCAATGTTTATCTAACTCTCTAAGTTCAGCTGGCAAAAGGAACATCTGTATCACAGGAGACTGCTTGTAGCTCTGTCCTTTCAGAAATTACAGCTGCAATGTTACCTACAGAGATGTTTTTTTACTGACTGGCATAGGAAAATCACCAAGGGACTGTGGAGAAGCATTTAAAAATAAAAGTAAACAGAATATAACATTCAGCCATGCCCCTGTGAGGAATGAGGCCTCCACCACACTTTCCCTACTATGCACACCTAAACCCTCCCTGTTCATGCCTTGCTGGAAATTATAATGAGAAATTTCCATCTCTTAGAGAGATTTGGCACGTCTTGTGCACGATTGAAATCACACAGGATAAGTGGGATAAACGTGACATACAAGCCCTGTCTGTTCTTCTGCCCAAGGCTGAATTTCAGTGCTAAGATCATTTCTTCAGAGCTGCATGACGTCTCGCACGAAGCTGAGTGCTCTGAGCATTCATTGACTGAGCTCTTATCTATGTCAATTTGCTCTTCTTTTATATACTCCACTTGGAGCCTCTAGTTTATTTTCCTCCTCTGCCTGCATGAGAGCTAAGCCCTTGAGCAGTTCCTTTCGTCGCATTTAACCCCTGAGTGTAAAAAAAAGGTTTGCTCACTCTTCATGTAACAAACATTGTGGAAAAATAGGGAAAATGCCCCTTATTGCGTCAAGGGTCTAATGCTTCACCCCCATATTGGAACTGGGGCAAAAAATCAACATTCCACTAGTGATAAATAATACAGAAGTTACCCTCTGGCATTACCCATCACTGCAGAGAACCCAGGAGGTTGGTAGCCCAACAGAATGAGCGTGGTGTGTTACAAAGGAGCTCTATAAACCAGCTCTTGAAGAATTTTCTGCAAAAAGAGAAGGAAAAAAAAAAGGCAAAAAAGACCCCCATCTTGTTGCTTTTTCTTGGTCTTCAAGAATGATTCAAAGGGCATAATAAATAAACATCTACTTGTTTTTTACACATGAAAAGTTCAGATTTTTCTCTGGAAGGCACTACGAGGTAACGGAAATGTGGCATTGTGGGAGCCAAAAAATGGAGGGCAATGAATTCAGAGATAAAGGCAATTTTAAATGGTTAGCTAGATGGCTAACTAGCTCTCAAGAGACATTGACTGAGTCCCTCCAACTTCCAAATCTTCCTCTGGCAGAACTAAATAAAAAAATCATTCTTGAAGCTTGTAAAGTACAAAACCACCAAAATTTCTGAGCTGTACAGCCACTCAGGGGCCCAAGGGTAAAAAAATCCCACAGAGCAGGTGTTCAGCTTTGCTGGATTAGACTTGCCATGCTTGCCCTCCTGTCTCCCTCCTGCTGCAGCCGGACACAGATGGGCAGAGGTTTACCCTGACCTCAGACTTCCTCAGGGAGGAAAGAGGGTGAACACTTGTGAAAGTCATAGAAAGTATGGAAGGTGTTGAATAACTGGGACGCTGGGATACACTTCAGAGTAAAAAGCCATGGGATGGCACAAAGACAAGACAAATATAGGTTAACTACCAGAAAAGAAGTTGTTTCAGATGTTAAATAACAGCGCTGTCCCATTTATTGCTCAACTTAAAAGTCCCCTAGAGAGTTTTTGAAGGAAAAGATTAAAAATATAAAGGGAGAAATGATACTACTTCGGCACAGCAAGACCTATTAATGAGCTTGAATAACATCCTGCTATTTTGAAAGTGCTTCACAGAGGTCATGCTTAGCTAAAAAATGTGCCTTGTGTCAACCCAAAACACATTGCTTTGTGAAGTTGATCTCGCTTCATAATAGAATAGGGCTGTTCTAAGACTTCATTATTTGTCATCTTGACAAAGCAAGTAGTGCAATGATACCCTCTGCCTTCCCACATTGAGTTTTAAGAACACGAATGCAGTGGGAGAGTGAGACCCTTAGAATACCCTGAGTTGTAACAAGAGCACTAAAAACAGTGTCATCAAGAGAGAAGGAAAGACCAGAGGCAAAGACCTGTTTGTGATGCAGAATAAGCAGAGCCAGAGATAAAACCTAGTATGAAGCATTACAGTTTTATTATCAGAGCTGTGCAACTAGTGGCTGGAGAAGCAGAGAGAAGCTGAAGATGTCTCTGAGGAGTTGTCAGGGACTGTTTTGTGGAAGAGGGAAGGAGCCATTCCTGACAATGAGTATACAACTGACTGCTCGGAGGTGGCGCAGATAAGCAAAGGGTAGTAATGTTCTTTCCTATGTTATACCTAGTCTCCCTTTTACAACAAATCAAGATTGCATGGCCATTCCAGCTGTTTGAACAAAGAAAATGAGGAACACATTATTTGCCTTTGTTTATAGCTTGAACTGAGAAAATGCCTGGTACACAATGTGCCACTCATTGAAGAAAGAGGAATTACGTGCCAAGGCACTGAGAAAAAGCAAGAAAGAGAAAAACACTCAGACAGAGGAAGAAGATCTCAGAAAGAAGCAAACCAGCAAATAGTAGAGCCATTCATGTGTCTCAGCAGGTCAGCCAGCCTGGGGACTGTGGTACTCTTACCAAAGCAGTCAGTGAGACATTTTGGTCAATCTGATTGCTTGAGCATCACTTCTGCATCTATCACATTTCTGGCCCATGCACATCTAATCTGGTACTGAATTGCTTTTGTTTTTTGTAAAAAGAAAAAAAACCAAAACACTCCCTGATCTTTATTTGCTGAGATTGGCTTTAGATGTGAGCTTACAGCGTCCACCAGTAAGGTACATCAACAAGTCATCAGAGCAAATCTAATGTGATTTGTTCTCATTTTCATTCTTTGTTCAACACAGCGAATCAATGTTTACTTACAAGCAAGCTTTCATTCTAAATGATCCATGCAAGTGCACTGAGGTTGAATGAGGCCAGAGTTTGAAAAAAAAAATTTAGAAATTCAGTCATGCACTAAGCATCAATAACAGTATTACTGACCTTGGTTCACAAAGCATTTGTCATGAAACATCCTGCAGCTGGGAAAGCTGCACTGACCTTGTTCTATTTGGCTCTCCCCAAAATCCCTTTACAGATGTTCTCTGATGTCTGTAGTGCATCTACTCTTGACAGATCAATCTGTACAGCGAGTTTATAACACTCCCCACTTCCCACACTCACCACCAAGTGTTTGTCAAAGAGTGATGACATGTGGGTGTGCTAAGATTGGAGTAGGTAAGATTGGAGAAGGAGGAGCAGAGATGAAGAGACAGATCTTTTTGTGTGTGAAGCTGGAGGCTCAGAAGTCCCAGAGATTTTGCTGCAGCATCCTGCAACACCAGCTCTTCTCACTGCAAAGTGATTCTCCTAGTGGAGAATCCCCCCCTACTCCAATGCTTCCTTTGTATTATCTGTATTTTGAGATGCAAGACCACTAATGCATAAGAAGATAACACAACATTGGTTGATGTCCATAGAGGTAAATATGTCCAAAAGGATGCCAATGCATGTAAATTTCAGGAACAAAAATGTCAACACATCAGACTGAGTAATTCAAATAGATTTCTAGTCATAAACTGGAAAATATAAATACATCCGTATGTACTAAATTGTCCTTGGTACCTATGGATGTTGGCTCTGGACTAGTCAGTGGCTTGTGCTGCTCAGGGACATGGAGGTGCAAAAGGAAATAACACAGTCCCTTGTGCCTCTGCAGCAACGGTAAAGGAAAAACAACACAAAGATGTGAGAGATGACACCAACCTTTGTGGTGTGTCATCCAGAGGGACCTAGAGAGGCTCCAGCAGTGGGCTTAGGTGGTTCAACAAATCCAAGCGTAAGGCCTTGGGTGATGGCAACCACCACTACCAGTACAAGCTGGGGAACAGAAGGATAGAACACAGCCCTGCCAAAAAAGGATGTGAAAGTACTGGTGGATGGTAAACTGGACATGATCCAGCAATGTGCCTTCGTAGCCCAGAAAGCCAACCATATCTCCTGGGCTGCATCAAAAGAAGTGTGGCCAGTAGGGTAAGGGAGATCTTGCCACTCTACTCTGCACTGGTGAGACCTCATCTGGAGTACTGCATCCAGATGTGGAGTCCTCAATACAGGAGAGACGTGAACCTGATGGAGTGCCTTCAGAGCAAGGCCAGAAAAACGATCCAAGAAACGGAACACCTCTTCTACTAGAACAGGGTGAGAAAGCTGCAGCTGTTCAACCTGGAGAAGAGAAAGTTCTAGGGAAACATCATAGCAGATTTTCAGTATCTAAAGAGGAAATTATAAAGAAGAAGGGGACAGAGTCTTTAGTAGTGTCTGTTGTGATAGGACTAGGGGAAATGGTTTTAAACTAAAAGAGGAGAGATTTAGATTGTACATAAGGAAGACTTTTTTTATGATAAGGATGATGAGGCACTGGAACAGGTTGCCAGAGAGGTAGAGGGAGCCCTCTCCTTGAAGACATTCAAGGTCAAGCTGGAGGAGGCTCTAAGCAACCTGACCTAGCTGCATATGTACCTGTTCATTGCAGAGGAGTTGGTCTAGATGACTTTTAAAGGTCTTTTCCAACTCAAATGATTCTGTTTCTGTGATTCTATAAATGGCATTTCCACTGCTGTTTGCAGTATCTGCAGCCAGGCTTGGCCTTCATGTGCACCAGCTGGTGACAAAACTGGTGGGACATGAAGCGTATTCCCTGGTCATTGCCAAGATAGCCCCAGGAAAAGCCCTTTCTGAGGGCTAACTCTTTAAGTGCCACTGGGAGCAATACTCAACCTGGTCTGTAACCTCTCTGCAGGTTTGAGCAGAAGCTGTCCAGTCCTGTCCTCTGCGTCTCAGGCTACGTCTAGCTCTGTGCAAGAGCTTAACTGTGATTCTACATCAAATGAGGATGTCAACAGACTGCAGCAACTCTCATAGAGCTCCAGTGAATCTGGCTCAATTAAAATCTCTAAGTCCTCCAGCTTACTGACAGATGAACATCCAAAAGCCAAATGCCTAAGCTGTTCTCACCTCAAGTGACCTGTGGTTAATTAGCAACTTAAGTGGATAGTTTAGCTAAATTCTTTATATGTTTGGGAGGGAGAGTGGTGCAAGATTAGTATTAAATATATTTAATAATAAATATGGCCAGCATTAGATATGAACTGATTTAAACAGATAAATGCAGAGAGTATTTGGGGAAGTTTTATCAGTATTACTCAGTCTCTCGTCTGCTTTTCAGAGGAGCAACTCTCAGGCAGTTTTTGACAAACTTCTTTAGCACAGGCTGTTTCTGTGGAGGTGCAGGCCACTCCTAGTGAGCAGACTGTGGCCTTTAACTGTTTACCCATTGTTTCTCCATACATTCACCTGCCAAGTGATCCACCCTAATTACTCCATCTTGAGAATCACGTGTCCAGAATTAGGCCCAGAGAGAACAGATAAACTGAACACAAATCCTTATACTTATTTAGAGAAAAAAACAACAAGAACAGCAAAAGCTGATATACAAAACACCACATCCAACATCACAACATGAATGCCCTTAACTCATTCATTAACTTCTGAAAGCCTCTACTCTATCATCTACTCGCATAACTAAGGCTTGAATCTCCACAGAGTGAAGATCATGGCATGATTCCCAGGGATCACAATAGGTTTAACATCTAGATAGTCTATGTATCTCTCTAATCTACTCTGTATAAACCAAGTACATTACAAGCATGTGATTGTTAATATATATTTTTTTGCCCTTAGCATCTGCTGTTTATCAGCTTCTGCTTTTAAATAATTTCCTTTACCTCCTTTTCCTTTTTCTGTGTCCCTCAGGATGATTCTGACGCCTGGAACTGAGGAACAGTATAGCAATTGGACTACCTGCCTTCTGTCTCCCAATTTTATTTTAATCATGACACAGTTTTCATACATGGGTTTATAGGGCTTATTTCCCTATAGTGCTTATTTCCCTATTCCAGCATATGTGTGCTGAGGGAAATATTTATTTACTACTTTAACTGTTCCTGATAAGATGGGGGTGATCAGCATTTCAATTAGCTGTGTTCAACCTACTGAATGCTGTAAAATGGAGTAAAGTTTCACGCATCTAGATTCTTCTTAATCAAAGATAAATTTTTCACAGTAGGACTTTCTGTTATCTCCTCAAATATTTAACTAGCCCTGGCATCACTTGTCAAGGTCACTGCATACCAGGTGAGTACGCCATTTTAGGAAATACCCAATAACCTGAATTTGCTTGAAAACTTTTTAAAAATACCCAGAAATCTCAAGCCATTTCTCTTTCCTTCCTCTGCACCTCCCTTCTCCCCAGCACAATTTCAACACTGGCATGAAAAAAAAAAAAATAAAAATAAAAAATCAGAAGAGCTCACCCCTACATTTCATCTGGATAAAATCCAGCTGATGAATGGCTTGCAGTAGGGGTTCACTATCCAGCGTCAGGTCAAACTCAGCAGACACTTTTGGCTCCAAGGCTCCTTTGACCCACTGTTCCTGAGATACCTGGACACGTTTGATTAAAGCATCTGAAATCTGAAAGAGACCATCAAGCTTTTGATGAAACTACGGATGCAGAAGCACATCAGAAGACATGAGAAGTGACAGAACAGCTGTGAGATGCAGCACAAAAGAAACAGGAGTACGACAGCATGAGAGTTGAGATGGGATCCTTAATTCTGAAGGGAGTTCCATTTATGTTATATCCTTTGGTCTCCTCCTTTCAAAAAACATTCTCATCTTAGAGTACAAAAATAAAAACTGCATTTGCGAAGGCCATTAGTATTGTTATAGATCACATCTCTGAATGCCTCGTCACTTCAGAATTCTGTTCTCTGCACTGTATGGCTCTGCTCTCCTGTTCAAACAGCTAGTTGCTTAAAGAGAGGCTGACATGTCAGAGGTTCTCTCCATTTAGCAGAGATGATTTAGTTGAAAGAAATACAAAAATCAAATGGGAAAGAAGGTGTTTATTTCTCACAATAAGGGAGATACGTTGTTGCACAGATTTCCTAAGAACACGATGGACTCACTATCATTACATCAAAAACAGTTTTGTGTTTAAATCTCCGTTCTTGCTCAGCCTATAGTCACTTAGGCCACAAGTCAGAATAAGATGATCACAATGTCCTCTCTAAGTGAGATCTTGTCTCCACACAAATCAATGAACTCAACCTCCTTGAGTTCAGTTATGCCATTTGAGTACCTGCAATCCTTTTGAGTGACATTCCTGTCAATCAAAGAGAGTAAAATTTTTCTGGATAAGTCAGAGTGGGTTTTCCTTTGTTGTAGGAGTTCAGATATCCTTCCTCACTACTGTCACTGGAAGATCCTTCTGTCTGGACTCCTGTACCAGAAAGTCCCAGCCACTCTGTGTGGTAAGGAGGAGCCTTCCTGTAACCCTGGAGTCACTTACAGGGCTGCTGGGTCTCTTGGCTGTGTTTCTATATCCTGTCTGCAGGAGCAGTTGCTCTGAGTAATGCAGTACTTCAGTGTTTGCTGGTTACCTTGAAATTATTGTCAGATAAACCAGAAAAATGAACAGGAAAAAAAAAAAAAGTACATTTTTATATGAAAGGTGAGTGCCAAGAACGAAGACCCGAAGGTTATAGGAAAAGTAAGCTGAGTGGTAAACAAAGCTTCTGAAGTACCTAAGCATGTTTGTTAGACCTAAAGGCTACATTTGTCCTGTAGTATCCAGTTGACAGCCTGCTAAAATGCTGTACAGTCTCTGGGATTAATATACATCACACAGTCTTAACTCTTGTTTGAGACCAGATGTGACAGTAACCATCAATCTGGAGTGCTAATGGGTTTATGTTGGATAATTCTCATTCTGTTTTTCAGGGATACTGTGAGAGGCCTTGCATTCATGCATTCATGTGTGTGGCATGCCCTGTTTGACTGACAGTCACATATCGGCCATTTTCTTTGGAGCCATTTCTTCTTAGGCAATTAATAAGGCAATAAAACTAATATGGCAAAATAATAATTAAGGAAAATAGTTAATAAAATGCGATTAGTTAGGCCAAGTAATTGATTGGATAACAAAGCACGTATTTTTTCTCATCAATTGACCCTTTCATGACTTGCTTCATCTTCTCCCTCGTCTCAGTGACGATAACTATGAAAGACTCATCCTGCTTCCTCCCTGGGACCTGGGTTGCACAGCTCCTGCAAATGAGCCAGAGGGAGTCAGACAGCAAAGAGATACCTGTCAATCTTCCTTGATGTAGGCTTACACGGGGTCCAACCATAAAATCTCTCTCAATATATTTACAGAGACAGACTCCAAGGGAGCTTCTACACATTTAAAAACTCTTCAGACCTTAGCACAAGCTTCCAATAAGTTGTCTGTTGCAGAAAGGATGGAGTAAAACCATAAGGTTTAATGATATTCAAATTGTAACTGGCATGATTTTTGGCCAGGCCTTATAGACGTTATCAGCAGGAATCTGTCTTAGAAGGGGAAGACACTAATTAGCAAAGCTGTATACTTCCATATTTACATGTTAAATCTTTTTATCTTAGATCTTTTTTACCCCAGTTCACCCAAAAGGAAAATACCTGTAAAAACCCAGAGGGATCATTTTCTTTGATAACTTCTAGGCAGTACTCCATAAGCCCTGTTGATTGACGTAGCTTCAGCGTACAGTGGTTTATCTGGTCCCAAACAACCTGGAAAGCAGGCATCAGCACAGTTCTGATAATTGCTTCAGCTTACAGTGAAATGTATAAAATTATTTCAGAAGAGGCAACAAATGGGAGAGCGTGTAAAAGCAGTGCTTAATTTAGCTGCCATATGGCCATTGCCACAACTCCATCAGCTATGCTCGCTTGCTCTGTATTGTAAATACCGATAATTAGTTTGGCAAAATGTTGCGCACAGGGAATCTCAATTTTCAGAGCAGATTAATTGCTCAAAGCTCAGGTTTGCTGGGGGCAGAAGGAGCACATAACATATTTTTGCATTTGCAATGTTCACATTTACAATTGCGCTTTCACTAAATTGAGCTTTTGAAAAATCTTTGCCTTAAAAGACAAATATTACAGAGGATAACTGCAGGTTATACTCTACTATTCTCTTCACAATTCATCATCAACCCTGTTCAGCTTAAGGATGCACTGCTAGAATTAAGAATTTAAAAAGGCATCTTTTTTTTTTTCAGATTTTGGACTTTATTCTGCTGTAAATTAGGCCTAGTAGCATTGTGTTCAGTAGCACAACTCCTCAGTTACCCCAGGATAACAGGAGCAAACAGTGGGATAAGCAATACTGTTAGAATCATCTTCTTATTGTTGGCTCTTGTTAAACATGGAGACTTCCAAACACTGATCTCAGGTTGATTTTATTCGTTGCTTTTCATGTTCAGTTTTTCACTTTTATATCTCCTCCTGTCTTAGATACTATTAATGTTACCCACACTGTAATACTTCAGAATCACTTATACAGTTCCACATTTCAAGAAACGTATCCATTTTTTCACTTCCACTTTGTTCATCCAGTTATAGCTTTCTTTTCCTTCCTTTACAGTGTTTCTTTAATATCTTCTAAGTAGCACATGGGCATCTTGCTTGAATTTTAAAGATTTGAAGAGACACCAAAATCCCCAAGGTTATACCTGAGCAGAAGTGTTTTTTGCCATTGGAAGGATCCACACATGCCTAACGTTAAGTATACAAGCACATTTCTACTAAACCGCTGAACAGAACCTGCTGAAGAACTTCAGGATTGGGTCGTTAGGAATTTGCACTGTGTAAAGGGCTGAGGACTTGACAAAATGCACGGTAATACCAGGTATCAACAGCCACACTGAGCTGAATACTTACAGCTGTTGAGAGCTGCACTTACCTTTAGTTTGTGCTCACGTTCCTTGGTCACTTTTGTGAGCAGTTTGGCCTTTTGTCGCGTTAACGCATCAACCAAGGCATCACACTGAGCAACAAGACAGGCTTCGTAATCCAATCCATTCTCCTAGAAGAAGAGTCATATTCATGAAAGAAAACATGCTTTATAGCTACACTATTGTTTATTCTTACCTGTTCTTTTCCATTCAGAGATATCCTTTCAAGGCTTTCTCATTCCTATTGCCTTTCTGATTTCATTATGCTGTGCCATTAATAGCTGCAAAGTGGGCTTCTATGAAAACCTTGTTTTACTGGCACTTTCCAGACTGCAGATGTAGTACACCATAACATAAAATCAAAACCTACTGCACACTCATACATAAGAGGAATCTGTTCCACTCTGCATAATTAACCCATTGTAGCTCCTTTGAAATCACTAGCTAGTACTCACAGTCTTTTGTTGACACTGTGGTAAAACCCTGCTGGGCAGAGGTCAGCAAGTGTGGTGCACAACTTGTACCCCCTACAAAGCCCGGCTATCACTCAGCCCTCCATCAACTCCTATAGGGTAAATGAGGAACAAACTGTGCTACCACCAACTCACAGTACAGCTGAAGAAATCTGGGTGAATGATACAAAAACAACTTCTGCTTCCAGGTGATAACTTTCCCTGCTTGTGGAATTGGTGCTGCAGCACCCATTTGAAGGAAAGCTCTCCCTCGCTTCATCTGCTGGTGAGGAAATCAGGAAAAAGTTTTCAAGCTCCTATTACCACAAGATGCTCTGCTGTCCTATCAGCTTTACTCCCAGTTCCCAAATCATGGAAAAAAAAAAGAAAAAGAAAAAAAAAAGACTTTAAACATCTGCTTAAGGAGAAGCATGTCAGTGGAAAGCCATCACACATTTCTAATTCATTACTGTTTCTCAACTCTTTTGTTTATGCCGCTCTTTTCTACTCCTTTGCCAGCAAGAAGGGATTGAGGAGAGACACCAGCTAGCTTGGTTACTGTATACAAGTTTATCCTAGACACCTGCTGTTTGTATCTTTCCCTCCTCAGCTTTTATCACACCTGACTCTCTCTTAAGCTTCTTTCTATCAAGCTTCTCTTGATGTGCTGGTTTCGTATGTAGCGTGAGTCTGTACATGGCGGTGGTGCACCATTTTTCTCTTAATTTTCTGTTCACATATTAAACAGGGTGTTTGGCAATATGCCTCTTCCAAGTGAGAAAGGATGAAATTGTTACAGCAGATGGGAAAATGTGAAAATCAGATAATGAGAGCATTAGGGAGGAGCAAGGAAACAAGAGGGGTGATGAGGAACAGGAAGTTTGTAAAAAGAGACTATCAGATGTAGAAGTGACCTCAAAAAGGTGAAGGGAAGGAAGAAGAGCAGAAAGCAACAGCTCTGCAAAACAGGAAAAAGGAAAAAGAGATTATGAATTTGCAATCTGCCCCGGGTAAGACAAAAGCTCTGCTCCTCATAGCTCTGACATTCACAGTGAGAAGATAAAGAGTGCAGATGGCTAAGTGGTCTGGAATGCACTGAAACAAGATAATAAAATGTACGTGTGGCTCACTCCTTTGTGTAAAAATTAATTTATAAGGCATTTTTACTGAGGAGTAAGTGTCTGTATGTATGCGTGAGGCGACCACCAGAAAATACCTATTAGAAATAACCTGCAGATATATAGAGATAACCTGAGATATATGGTTCTGGGTATGAATCTACATGTATAAATGTTTATCTGTCCCCGTGCCAAAATAAAAAACAAAACAAAACAAAACAAAACAAAACAATCCAAGAACTACTCTTTGGCCCAACAGCCAAAAGGTACAGATCAGCTCATGACATTTCTAAAACCCTTCCCCTAAACAAAGTGACTGCACTAAATCTGCCCAATGGGAACAATCCCTGTACCAATTCCTTCACCTGGAAAGAGTGCAATTTCTCATGAGACAAAATGATGCCAAGGAGCTCCACAGGAGCCAGACAGTGTGAGTGACTGTCACCTAGCACCCAGAGTAACACCCTAGTCTTGTTTCACTTGGGCACACATATGCAGCTTTGTGTGCTGCTTTGCACACAATTTGCCAGTGATTTTATTGAAACACATTAAGAGATTTTACATCGTAGTCATAAATAGTCATAATAGACCACCTTTGGGTTTTAAGAGGGGGAAAAAATATTTAATGGAGCTAGGTGAATCAAGGAAAGAGTGGCAACAAGCTATTGCTTTAGATGAGTTATTGCAGCCCAAAAATAGCTGCCAGTATGCACAGAAAGCTGCCAGTATGCTTATAGGTGTCCATCCTTCCTGGACAATGAAAGAAGCCCAGGTGACTAGGCTGGATGAGCTGTTTAACTTTCAGATAGCAAAGGTCAGCTGAGAAAAACCTCAATGTGTTCAAAACACAGCACATCACAGGCACCACCCAGTGTCTTCACATTGGTTTCTTTCAGCTAGATGTGCCCTTTTTTTACCAGGTTCTTCATCTTTCTTTGTTCTCTTCCCCACCATGCTGCAGAAGGCAGACAGGGTGTGTGATTGTACTGCTCTGTGGCAATCTGAGAGCTTTGGCAGCACTTGCAGTACAAATCCATAATTTGCAGTGTTAAGCGACATTTTTGAAATGATTTATTCCTAAACCAAACACAGATTGTTTAAATTCTGCTTTGGCTTTCTGTTAGCAACAGAAATAAGACTTGCTTGTTGATGAAAGAAGAGCACGCATATCGTAGAGCAGACAATGTGACTGCAGATAGGAAGTATCTCCTTCCAGACACCACAAAGCTCAGAGCACAGCAGCACGTCGGCAGCCCCACTCTGCATGGCAAGAAGGGAGTTGAGGACCATATGACCTCCAGCACTGATTAGAGTGCAAATCTGGTTGGAAACAGAACTTGCTTCCTTTGGGGTTTGTGCCCTCAATTACTGCACTCACCGTGAGCCCTGTTCTGACTGTTCAAGCTGCGCAATTGCATGCATGGAAATACTTCTCCTTTAATAAACAATCAAATTGACTTAGCAGCATGTGTTTCTTTCCTCTTTTTTGACTTCCTACAAATCGTCTAATAAACAGGTTGACTGGATTTTATCCAGCAACAAGTACATTTTTAAAAAATGCTAGATGAAAAACGATTAATAAATTCTGAGTGGGTAAAAAGGAAAATTTATCCTAAATGTCCAATTCAAGGAAGAGCCAGCAGGAAGGATGCTGAAAGCATGGCCAAGGGGTTCAATCAAATGCAAATCGACTCAGCTCTGGTGTCCAGTACTGAGTATCAGCCTTCTTGCAATAAACAGCAATCCGGAAGCTAAAACAGGCTCATAGGCATTATTTGATGAGTAATTTTGCCTAGCATGCTTATATCCAAGAAAGGTTAGATGATTCCAGGAAATAGAAGAACAGTGAAGGAAACAAAGCCATCAGATAAATTATTCACTCAGTTCTATTGATTACATATCATCAAAACAGCCAACATTCTACGGTTACCTGTATCTGCTGCAATAAATTTTTCAGCTGAACCAAAAATTCTTTAGCTTCCTTTGCTTTATCTGAAACACCATTTAAAGCCTGAGACAGTTGTGCCTGCAAGAGAAAAAAAAAAAAACAAACAACAAAACAATAAAAGGAAAAATTGGAGATAAAATGTAAATATGTTTCTTACTAATCCTTGCTTTTAACAAGTAACAATGAGCTAAAAGGCTTACTTGCTGTCACACATATTCTTATACATGCAGGCTGCTTGTGCTAGAAGAGAAGAGTTAAGATTTTAATTGTAGTAAGATTTAATAAAGGAGAAATATGCATGTGGGGGCAGTTAAGTATTGTGTCTGCACATTCTCCGTTATTGCAGTGATTCTGTAAGTCAAAATACTTTTTACAAGACTACTACCCACATATATAAGGAAATAATAGTCTTACACAGATACATCTGTCGTGCTGTGAAATTCTCAAGTGCTTTCCAAAATAGTGCTTCTCTTCATCAAAGCCTGAAATCTTTATAAGCATAGTACATTCTACTAAACCTATGACTGTAGAGACAAATCTGCATTTTTAGACTTCACTGTTATGTCCTTTTAGGGCTTCAATTTTCCGTGCTCCAATCCAACAAATGGGTGAGTATTTCTGGAATAGCTAAAACAACCTCTTCCCCTTGCTCTTGGCAGGTGAGGGACAAGGAGTTCATTTGTTGTAAGCCCATACTGAAGACCCAGCTTCCTGTTGCTTAGCTTGCAACTGAGATCTTTACAGTGAACAAGCAGCTTCTTGAAGGACTTACAGGGTCTGGAGAAAGGGGGAGGAACCTGAAGGTGCAGTCCTTGCACAGTTTCTTTGACTGAGACTACAGAAACCATGCTTTTCCATCCGTCAGCCCGTGGCCAGTCCAAATCCAGCATTAGGTATCTGCCAGCATAACGTGGAGGGATGGGATGGACCCCAATCTGAGTGACATTGGTGATGTTTTTTGCTGTCATGCTCAACCTTTCTCACAGGGCATGCACCTAATGCTGGGCTGTGGGATCCTATGCCAAGTCCTACTGGTTAGATTCTCTTTTCATGGGTCTGCTTCTTTGCCACAATGGCTATTTATCAAACTGCCAATGCCCAAGTATTATCCTCATCAAACAGACATTCAACTGACATAAAGAAACAGAAAATGAAGCCTCCTTGCTAAAGTCAGGTTTCCAAAAGGTTGCAGTCTCTTGACTCCATAGGAGTAGAGGGTGCTTGGAGACGGAACTTTGTGCATAGGAAGGCATAAAAGCTATGAGAATTTCTTACAGGAGACCCAACTGTAATCCACAAGTCACCACTCATTCCCTGCTTCCACCTTTTTCCTGAAGGAGAGTAAATTGTTCCACTTCTGAAAAGGGCACAGATCAATTCCTCATGCATGCAAAGTTTGGGGCTTATCTCCCACCCGAATGCCCTTAGACAGTCTCTCCTTGGACTCACTTGGGTGCTCAGGGCAAAAAGGAGCAGGACCAGCACCTCCTTGTGTGCACTGTGTGCCCCAGCTCTGAGGTCACAACCCTACAGTGACGTGTGGGCAGGGGGCACCAGCACACCCTTAGTGGAAGCAGAACTGATTTATAAAGAATGAAGTCGTATTTGTATTTTTTTCCCTTCATATTCACACAGACCTTCCTCTTTATGCCCACTAGTAGGCATTCCATTAGTGCTATATTTGAAAATGAAATATGCTTTACTACAACTAATTTGTAACAAATGTAGTGGGGAGTACAACAATCACAGTGCTAGATGCTTGAACATTTAATAGTCTCTTGCACAAACTTCTGCTACATCATAAAACTGTAAAGCAATTCTGTTTGCTATGAAAGCTATCTGAGGCCACAAAAACAAACAATAATTCCTTAAAAGGGTCCTGTTCTCCTCCAGCACAACTGATCAGGACTTGGATCTTCTTTCTCTGGGTTGATGTGTTTTCCATAGTTTAAAGCCCACTCTTGCTGACTGCACTTCCCATTCCACCCACAAGGACTTTGGTTTGTCCAGTTGACGTATGACAAGGTGGAGGTTGCATGTGACGAAGTAGTGGAGATGCAGAAGAAAAAAAGAGGGCACGTAAGCACCATGTGCTCTGTTAGTGACTGGCCCAACAAAAACATACCAGTGTTTCAAGGATTGGTCCCAACAAAAGTAAAGCTTACACTTCTCCCACATCAGCCCTTACTCTCAAATCGAGGTGCATTTCACCAGAAATGAAGAGCCAAAAGTTACAGATGGTCATCAGGTAAAAATCCAAAATCACACCAATGAATTTTAACCAACATGCACTACTATCAACTGGTGCAGTAATGTCCGGCTCCTGGCATTCTACCATTCCAAGAGATTAGAATAGAAACTTGACAACATCATTGATCAGATGACTCTTAAGTGAATTTCTGTGCTCATTAAAAACTGTGGTTGCATTAATACGACGGCAGTGTGGAACCAGGGAGAAGATCAGATCTCTATTTATGAAACCCACTTAGAGGTAATAGCCCTGTTTTTCTAAGCATTTGTAAAAGATACCTTACAAAGCAGTGAAATCTAGTCATGCACTTCCCATTAAAACCAAACAGAACTACATGACTAAGCCCTCAATAAACCAACCAAACCATAAAAAATGCCCTGCACACTCAGAGTGATCTCGCATGCTGCTGAATATTCACTTGAAGCCAAACTGAAATGTTACGAGCTCCACTGACTACAACAATTAATGACTCCTGACAAGCAGTATTCTACCTACAGTTATCTTTACTTCAGTACTAGTTTTTCAAGAAAAAAAGCAAAGATTCTGGAGGTGGACACAAGGTTCCTGCTTCTATCAAAGACAGGAACAGAGAGATAATGAGGGTGAGTAATTAGATCCAGATAGGCACAGAAGACTGATGCTTCCTTTGATTTTAGAAAATGAACCAGATAATGCCAATGCCCTCTTTCAACCGAGCAGTTCATGCTCATTTAACTTGTTTTCCCTCCATCTCTCTTCAGCAGCAGATTAGCTATTGATTAGACAAGCTTATCCTGGTGCTGCAAGCTGAAAGAGCCCTCGTGTTTTTGGGAACACAACTCCTTCCTACCAGCAAATCAAAGCAGGCATGCAGACTCCAACACTTGCCTTCAGCTGCCTGCCTGCCTTTCACACACCTGTCCAGGTGAAGTTTGTTTTGGCATTTCTGTACATATAAAACCAGTGTGCAGATTGTGAAAAGTATGCACCATCTGTTTTCACATCCATAGGTCAAAAGGCCTACAAACTTATATCCCTTCTTTCTGTGAAGACCTAAACCAACTTCTCTGGCAGTAGATTTGCAAAGTTTTACTTAATAACCAAAAGTTGTTGGTCCAGATAGGCAAGTAGTGTAATCGAGTGTAACAAAGACTATCTATGTCAGTAGATTTACAGCTGATTTATGCAGTTGTGGCCCTGTTTATATTTTCCACCATTTCTTATTTTACTGAAAAACTTACGTATAGCAGGGCAATGGGCAAACCTGTACCATTAACAAAGGCCAAAAATTCTTGCACAGCCATCAAGCCATTGGCACAGCTGGGAGTAAATGCCCTTCTCACTGTATGGTCTGAGACATCACACCAAAAAGTCTGTAGTTTTCTACTGTGTGTAGTTTTCTTCCCTGTGTACGACTCAAGCAAAGGGGAAGTCAAACAATTTGAAGAGAAGGACAATGCACAAATGGAATGAAAATGGATCCTGAAGGAGAAGATGGGCAGTGATACTTGAAAAACAATTCTAGGGCCAGAAGAACGAAAATTGTTAGTTTTTAATTTTCTGTTGTGGGATGGAACTGTGAGCTGTGAGAGGAGGGGGCATGGCAGTGGAACTCTTTACAGGGGAAGAATGCTGCCCCTTCCCTTAGGATAAGATAAGCAGGTGCTTATTACCTGGTGGGGAACAGGTGCTGACCTGCCTCCTGAGCAGGCTCATGGAGAATCCCTTCTACCTGCTGCTCTACCACCTCTGCCAGGCTATCTGGGGAGAACACACACAGCTTGAATTCCATTTGGCTTACCGCACGCAGTAATACTTCAGTATGAGTAACTTATGGCTTGGCCAAAGTCACTTCAGGTAATAAACCAGTAGAAATTGCTGTGAGAACTATTACTTAGCGTAAGTATCTAATTCCAGAGCAATTTATCCAAATGAATGTGAGCTGATGATTTAGGCTATTTGTCTATGATTCCACTACGTTTATTTTCTGCCAAGTATATTGTTCTAGGAAAAGTAGTAGCTACAAGAGCTCAATGTCAGAGTCCCCAAATCAGTTAATTCTGAAGCTTATTTAAGCTTCCACTAGATCTTCCACCATGAGTCTATAAATCAAGAGGAATCACATTTTGTGATAACGTACTTCCAGAAAAAAAAAAAATGTGGACAAACCAACAAGCTCTTGTTCATTTTTTCAACAACAGGAAAACAGGAAAATGACTGTCAGCACACACTGACTACACCAAAGTTTATCACACTGTTCAGAAAGGCTTCAACCAATCTTAACTCAAAGTAAACTGTAACACAACACAAGCTAGTCTCTCACAGCACAGAGAACATTAACCATGTTTCAACAGTGAGCTCAGTCACAGCTCGTTTGAGTAATTCTGTACAGACCTAGATCCTGCTGTTAGCAGAAGTAGTGATGATCTGTTCCTTCTGCACTAAGAGAACAACTCCCCTACAGTCACATTAGGGAGGAGCTGGCAGAGCCTTTGGCAAAGAGCATGCAAACTCTGGCATGCATACTGAAGGACTCTCAGATCCACAAACTATCATGCTCACTCCAAGCCTCTTTTGGGAATTCTTAAAATCAAAAGTCAAAATTTTCTCTTACTAGAAGTCTTAGGCTTGTGCTCTCCCACTCTATGGCTGGAGAACAAAGAGACCATTCTTGCCTTTGTCCCCACCCATGGTTCTCCCTGGATAAGAGAATTTCTCTGGGTTTCCTATGGTGCTAACTGCAGGAGAGGAAGGGAATCCTGTGGCCAGCAAAGCTAGCAAAGTGTTCTTTACATGACCTGTGGGAAAAGCCTTTTCCCTCTATCTGGAAGCTCCGAAGTACCACTGTCAGCACTGAAGATGTATATTCCCCTCTGTATGTGCATCTGTCGTAACAAATCATTTTAGAGGGTCCATCATTCTTAATAAGAATGAGCTAACATCACATACTTCTTAAGCTGTTATGGTCACATTTTGCTCTTTATTCAAATGGCTGCAAAGACTCCCGCATGGTAGGCATTGCCACATGATCCAGCAGATCTACAAAAACTGCTGCCTGTGCTGTGCAGTGGCTGCCTCTGACATGCCCCCAGGGGCCTCCAGAACTACAGAGCACCAGGGAAGGGAAGAGCAAGCCAGAGTGCAATGCAGTGGGAATCTGGTAAAGCTGCACCTGTCCCCAGAGCCCACTCTATTGTTGTCTATTCATGTCATGAAGGTCCCTCCAACCATCCCTTCTGGCCTCTTTGGTGAAGGTTCTTCACCAAAGGGCAGTGGGCATGGAATGGGCTGCCCAAGGCAATGGTCACAGACCCAAGCACTGGTGTTCAAGGAGTGTTTGGACAACGCTCACAGATACAGGGTTTGGATTTTGGGTGGTGCTGTGTGGAGCCAGAAGCTGGGCTCAGTGATCCTGGTGGGTCCCTGCCAGCTCAGGATGCTCTGTGTTTCTATGATGCTTTGAGAACTGAGGAGAGGTGAAGATCTTTCTGAGGCACAGAAGACAAAACAACATCTCTTGACAGCTCCTGTCATGCCTTCCGCCTAAAAACTTTGGGTGGCTGAGGGTTACTCTCCCTCATTGACAGGTGGATAAGAAGTCATGGTGAAAAACATCTGTGGCAGCTCCTGTTGAGGTGAAAGGGGTGTGAGAAATGAAAGAAAGGCCACCCCTCCTCCTCCTGCTGCCCACAGGCCTGCATGGGATGGTCCAGAGCACAGCAAGGCTGGCTAAAGCCAGATGCCCGTCCAGGCCTGGTTCAGCCTGGCCAAGGTAAGGGAAGGCAGCAGCAGGAGGAGTTTGTGCAACACCACAAGACTCTGAGCAGAGACTGTGGATTGGAGAGGGCATTGAAGAGCAAAGAGTGCCGTGCAAGGAAGAAAACACCCGGGATGCTGATGGACACAGAAGTTCTGAACTGACAGTGGGGAGACAAAGTCCTGCTGGCCCCCCAGCTCCTCCTTGCCATTGGCACGTGCTTCGTGCTTACCTTGTGCTGCTTCCACACGGCGCCCAGGGCCTTGACCTCGTGCTTGCCGTGCCTGCCGTCCTCCAGGCACTGGTAACACACGGGGCTGCGGCAGCTCACGCAGTACATGCTGTAGTTCTCCAAGTCGTGCTCGGCGCACGTCGGCAGCTTACGCCCGCCGCCCGCCCCCTTCCCGCCGCCGTCCCCCCCTCCGGGTGGGCCCGGGGCCCCGGGCGGCGGTACCAGACGATGCTTGGCGAAGGGTCCGCGGGCAGGGTGACAGCGGAGCTGGCAGGCGGCGCAGTACAGCACGTCGCACTGCTCGCACAGCACGGCCGCCGGCTCGGGAGGGCTGCGGTCGCACAGCTGGCACTTGGCGGCGGCGGCGGCGGCGCGGCCCTGCTGGTAGCGCTGCACGATGGCCTCCAGCAGCCGGTTGCGCTGGAAGCCGCGGAGGCCGCGCTGGTCCAGGGAGGCGCTCCGGTGGCACTGCGGGCAGGTGAGGGACGAGCCGGCGGGGCCGGCGCCCCTCTGAGACGCCGTCGCCCCGGGGGGTGCGGGCACCAGCGGCAGCACCCGCACGCCATTGGGGGACTTCAGGCTGGGAGTGTAGGAGCCGTAGCCGCTGTCAGTTTCGCTGTGCAAGCTCAGCTTGTCCGCGTGGTCTACGCCGCCGCCCGCCGCGCACTCCGAGTCCAGCGAGGCGGCCGGCCCCGGCCCCAAGCTCGGCCCCGGCGCGGCCGCGACGGCCGCGGGCGGCGCGGAGCCCCGCGGTTGGAGCAGGGCAGGCAGGTGCTGCTCGTTCTCCGGGGTCTGCACGGCGATGGTGCGGGCACAGGGCAGGCAGACATTGTGCGAGCAGGGCAGGATGATGGGCTCGCGGAAGAGCGAGCCGCACACCGGACACTTCAGCTCCTCTTCCATGGCCGCGGTTTCGCGTGCGCGGGCTCGGGCTCAGGCGGGCGGCGCGGGATCGTGGCCGCCGGGCGCCTCCATCCCCCGCGGCTCCTGCGGGAGGTTCAGCACCCGGCGGGCGCGGACAGCTCCGGGCCGCCGCGGGGCCGGCGGGGTGCGGGCGCTGTCCGGGAGCCGGCGGTGCCCGGGGCGAGGGGAAGCTCCGGCCCCGCTTCCCCGCTCGGGCGGGCAGGTGGAGCGCTGGGCAGGGTGCGTGGTCGTGCCGGGAGTAGTGATATATGGGCACGGGAGGCGGGGGCAGCAGGAGGAAGGGGCGGAGGGAGCCCTCTCCAGCAAATGAGGGATCGCTCGCCCTACGGCTGAGGACAGCAAAAACATTTTTTAAAGGATCTCTCTACGGCGATGTCTTTATACGTTCAAGTAAACCCATTGTTTAGGCAACGGGATGAACGCAGGCGGGGTTCCGCTATCCGTAGGGGCCTTTTCTCCCCGCCCCAAGGAAAGCAGAAAGGAGGAATCTCCCACTAATGAACCAAGCATGTTTATCTTTCGCCTGTGCCTTACCCTACTTGAGCGTGACAAGGACGCACAAAACGTCAGGCACTGAAAGAGGGAAGAATGGAAGAGAGTTAAAGGGAATCCCGGCATGGAATTCTCTGGCTACACGGGGCAAAGGGGTAAGCAGCAGGGAGACGTGCGGCATCACCTCTGTCGTCACTGTATAAACACAACAGAAACTGCTGGAAAAATAAATGGGGGATGACAGCTGAAAGTTTGAAAACTGAGGACAGTTATTTTCAGGAGCAAGCAACCAGCAGTGGGAAATCCCCCATCTGTTTTGTTTACCCTACATAGGAAGAGCGTGGATGTAACAGTGGTTTATTTTCATAGTGAAGAGATTATACAAGTTATTTCACTGCTTTCTTTTTTTTTTTTTTCTGTTCATGTATCTCATTTAAATGCCACGTCTGTTTTAACTTCAGCTTCATAAGCAGATTTTTTTCTTTTACTTCTAAATACAAGCTTGTTGTGTTTGAAGATGCAGTCCTAACTCATGTCAGATGGAAAAATAAACATTTTTAAAAATCACCCCTCTTCATAACACTTCTTAGCCCACGATGTGCATTTTGTGACACTGGGTAGGAAAGGGTCTTCTAGTTTCAGGTTTGTTTTTGCAAGGTTATTAAACTGTTGATGCATAGAAAAGGAGGGATGGGGACAGAGAGCATGAATATATTAAAGCTTCCATTTTGTTTTCATTGTTTCCTCTCTGCAATTCTCCTACTTGCAACTTGCCTAGACATCCTCATGACAAGCTAAAGGAAAAGAAAGTCCCAAATGGGTTAAAGCTTTGTGTTCCTTAGCGTAGGGTCAAGAGAGGCAGGTTTGTCCCCTGGCACATAAAAATCAAAAGCAATGACCCACATAAAACCGCCTGTCTGCTGCCCAGGAATCTTTTTATTTCATGTGACCTCTGTGCCAAGACTCAAAACTGAGAGAAGGTCTGTGTTTGGGCTGCCTCCACCTGGAAGCCTCGGCAGTACAAGAAAGGTTATGAAATACTATTTATTTCAAAAATACCATATGCTACTGTATCTCAAGAAAAAACTGTGGGTGAAGTGCTGTCACCTTTGTAACCTCTATTCTCTACTTTATCATCTGTCAGCAGTGGGAGTGATATATAATAAAGATTTCTTGCGTATGTACAGGTGAATGCAAATCATAGTGTGCAAGTATATGTTGGAAGCCATAATCCTAAGGTAATTAGGAAGGCATTATAAGCTTTTTTCCTTTGGATTTTTGCTTCATTTTTACCAATCTTGTGCCACTGATCATAAGCACACATTGGTAATAGCAGATCTGAGACATATAAACAGAGCTGGATATATCAGACAGGAAGGGATGAAAATGAATAGGTACGAACACCAGACCTTAAGAGTACACATTTACAGCGGCTTTTTAGCTATGGCTGACAAGTTCTGGAGTTGAAACCCAGCGAATTTTGGATTTCCATCTCAAACATTACAGTTTGCACTACAATGTAGTACTGTTTTCCCTTATCTACAGAGGGAAATGGCAAGAAGTACAGCATCTTTGAAGTGCCGTTATGATCAGCCAAACTGAGCTTTTCTCCTCCTCTCTAAAAGCTTGATGTGTTCTAAGAGCGCATGTCCGTAACTTATGATCTTTGCAACAGAGACAAAAATTTTACCTGGCTTTCTCTGTCCTGTGTTGTGACTTCTATGACATTCAAGATCTTTTTTCACCTACTTCATAAACTTGCTATAAACTTTTACACCCAAGAGAGATTTGGCTTTGAGAGAAAGAAGAGCTGCCCAGTGCGGTCCAGTGCACTACTGTCAAATCTCTTTCTCCGGAGGCCAGAACAGAAACTGAGGTAAGCACTGAAGTTTGGCACCAAGCTTGAGTGCTCTCTACAGACCCCACTGGTTCATTTGGGGTCACCCTTCATTTTGCTGAGAAACAGATCCTACTGAGGAGGCCCCACTGATGACGAAGGAGTTACTCCTAAAGCTCTGTTCAGCCTGATAGAATCGGGCCTTTATCATGTTTTGTAACCAAGCCATTCTTATAGTGGCTATGAACCCGATGATTTTTCCTCTTTTCATGTTCAAATGAGTCTTTAATCTCTTGGAGCTGTAACTGTATAGGATAGCCTAGAAACCCTATTCTGGCAGTCATTGCTTTGATCTTTATTTTAATACTTCAGTATCACTAATATCATCCCCTTAAACTATTTACCCTGCATAAGAACTCATTAGCATCTTTTATATCCTCCAGCCAGAAAAAAAAAAAAAAAAAAAA